TAGACAAACATGGGAATTAATATTATGAAAATTGCCAGTATAAGAAGCACACTACCAAACCACACCACACGGACCGCAAATGAGGCAACTAACTGTGAAATCAGAAGCAGTGTGTCCAAAGATAAATGTTTTGCTATAACAAAAGAGAAGCGGCAGAAATCCTGAAAACCATCCATTGTGCTAATGGGCGAGCTTGAAGTAAAGAACTAATAGTATAGCCAGGACCAAGACAACAATGATAGTGCCAATGATCCATTTATTCCTGCTCATCCTTCTTGACATTGTAGTCAAAATCTTCTTGCTCCTGCTAATATTATCATCCACTCCATGAAGCTGCCAAGGAAGAAACTTACTGATCATTGCATTTACATAATTATGCATGTTAATCTCAATCTTATTCCACAAACCTTTCCTTAATTAGATTTATCAAACTTCATGATCTTTTAATATTCACAAAAATAGCATATCAGAATCTCTGTTTGTCCACTTCTTAGTTTCACAATTTGTTTAGGCTGTTCAGATAGGATGGACAAAAATGAATAGATTGTGTACCGTGTCATGTGCATGCAGAAGAGACTGACGTTGTTGATGCAAATCTTGAAGAATTGAGACCCCCAGATCCTCAGTTTCTAGCATTGTCTTTCGACTGTCCCTGATCCTGTCGCTTGAACGGTTCAATCTCTCTGTTGACATCATCAACCTTTGCCTTTGATCAGCAGACACCTGTATGCCATTAGATCAAAATTTTGATCGAGCAAGAACATAATTTCTATGAAGAGTCAATCGAAATGTGAGAAAGTTTTCACTATCACATATCAACTTGTCTAGCATAAGATATCCTGACAGTACATTGATAAAAGATATATTTGTTCAATAAGAAGACTCGAGTAACGAGCTTGCAATAGGGGAATTACAACTTCATGTTTCTCCTTCCAATTTATATGAATATTCTTTCCTTCATGCGACATTCCAGACGTATTTGATACCATCCACTGGTAATCATATTCTATACCACTTTCACAACTTTTAAGATTATAAGCTCATTTAATGTTTAGATTTTAACTCGATGAGCAGTTGCTGTATCAGATTTAATTTTCAACTATTAATTTAACGTTCTTTTCCAATATTACCAACATAGTAAAAATTAAATTAAACATTTTTTACCTTGTGCCCTACCGAATACCTCTATCATAAAATGGAATGGACGGCGTAATGCTTAGGAGCTTACACTACTTGCTATTCTCGCTCTTGACATAAACGACACCACACTGGTTAAACTTCCCTTGTAAAGAAAAATCATTCAAACAACACAAAAGAGGGGGCAAAATAGAACCTAAAGTTGATAGACCACAAAGATAAAGTTGGAAATGTAAACCAATAAAGTAATACAATGTGAGAGAAGCACTATTGGTTCAGATGTCTGGAAAACTATGATAGTCAGTCTGCACAGTACAATTATCTGCATGCCATTACGATTGAAGTAGCAATTGAAAACTAGCAGCCTACACTCAACAGGAAGGGAATGTGAATCTACTTATGTAAGCTATAAAGGATAAAGATTAGCTTATAGTTCTTTCGTTAACGGACTAGCTTGACTCTTGAAAACACGATAGGGAAAGGGGATTACCATGTTAGCATCTGCCATTCCCGATTCCAACAATTCATCCCTTGCAGCTTGGTTTACATTTCCTGATGTGATTCTTTTCACTTCAGTTTTTAAGTTGTTCAGATCACTCTTATATTCTCTCAACTTGGCAAGAAGTGTGGCTTTAACATTTGGAGGTAAACTCCGAGCTTCAAGGTCCATTTTGCGAATCTGGAATAAGGACAAAAGAGCATTATAAACAAAAATATTTCAGAAACAAGCAAAAACAGGTTGCAGCCAAAGCTTACAAATTACCAATGCTTCAGCATCATCTAGGCCAGCTTTTATTTCAGACAGTTTCTGTTTCTTCTGTTCTGCAAATTAAAATAAAAAAGACAAACAGTTTTAAAAAGCAACTGAGCTAAATAGTCAAATAGTAAAGCTTAAGAGAGGCCCAAAATAGGATGAAATACAGAAATCACAGGTTAATGAGCCCTGCGATTGAGGAATAACAGAAGCAACAAAAAGGCAATAACTGACCTAATGGTAAAAAATGCAGAAGAACACCAAAACAAGTAGTAACAGCAGAGGTTTCAAATGGAACTTAACACCATTTTCTGGGGTAGATTTCAGGACAATTATGTCAAGAGAGCGTTATATGACTATGTCCATTTTTTACGAGATCAAGAGAATGTTATCATCTGCATAGTCCACCCCAGTTACAGGATTTGTATTACCATGACTTTCTTATTACAAGTTGCTCCCACAAACAACAGTACTGAAATAGTGATATGTATGATGCCAGTCAAAGATTATTAGAATATATCAGTAGTGATATAATCTGGAACACACATACACATAAAGAGTAATGCCAAAATCATTTTCAGACACTCCAATTACCTAATGTGTATCTAAAAGCAACGTAGTTATCTTGACCTCACACATGTAATATCTCCTCCCATTGCTAACTCTATACTCCTCATTTTGGATATCTTATTAACACCTGCTAAAATAGCTTATGTACTTTTCACAAAAATCAATTGAAATGCTTGCAGAGAGAGACTACACATTTTTGGAAAATTAAACAAAGTTCTACACAATTAAGAACCATTTTCATAATCTTCCCAATTGCTCAGTTGTTAGAAAATCTCATCCATTTGCCAAAGTTAAAATGTATAGAACCGGTCAGCAGGAAAACACCGAGCTATGAGAAAGTAAATAATTAGCCAAATAACCAAAACAATCTAACCAACTTTAGTAAAAGCTATAGCCACCACAGATAGACATTTTATTTCCATTTTAAAAACAAATTGGTTTTACACTACATGTTGCGTAATCCAGCATGAAGAGCAGTGCTATTTATTCTTGTAAATATTCTTTGAGATTTAAAAAATTAAAAAATCCAGCAGAAATTTCCTTTTTAATAATTGTGGTGTTAGCCCACAAGCCTTGTCTCCTCCTCGACAAATTCCACAAGTACTTGTTGAACTTCCACCAGCACACCTATCCAGTAACTTTATCCACCAAGGCTTGGGCAATCGGAACCAAATCATGCATGAACTATTAAGAAGAGAACAAGAATGCATCAAAAGCATCTTTCAAAGAAAAGGAGGGAAATGACTGTTCTTCTCACCTCCATCTAGGATAGTAGCTGAGTTGCATTTCTTCGTTAAAATAGCTGAAAGCTCACAGTACTGTCTTTCATATCCTTCGAAAACCTGACTCATTCTGCCCCTTCTCAAAGTTCACAAAACCTTCAGATCAAAAAAACCACCGTAAATTTCAGCCAATTCAGCTATCTCTTTTTCCCTAAATTACATTCTCCGTTAAAATAATAACAATACACTAAATTGTGATCCTTCAAATCGACTATAGCCATGATTCTTAGATAACCGAACAAATCAAACCCTAAAGATACGATAATTTCGCAAATACAACTAGATCATTCTACTGATTCATAGAGAAGATCGATACGCACCTTGAATTGATCGGAGAAAGGAGACAAATACGCCGGCCGGTCGGCGATCGGAGAATTAGTCGGAAGTTCGTTGGCTCGGTCTTTTGGGAACAATCGCGAATAATAGAATGATTATCCTATAGGAGACCTTTCAAGCACTAAGCAAAACATATCAGAAAAGACTTTATTACCCTTGAAAAGTTTTCCCCCCTTTTGTCTGAAAAAATAATAATTGATTGCACGTTTCAAATTGAATTGAAAATATGGAAAAATTACATTAAAAAAATTAGTATATTTTAATAAATAATTATCGTTTTTAGCGATATTTTTTATTTATTATCATTGATATTTTTTATTTATTATCATTTAAATTAAATTGAAAATAAGGAAAAAATTATATTTAAAAAATTGGTACTTTTTAATAAATAATCACTTATTTTAGCAATACTTTTTTATTTATTACCATTTATAACAATATTATATTAAATCTGCAATATGAATTAAAAGCGAATTATGTATGCAATACATATAAATTATAATTGTTTTTTGAAATATATTATGTTTGTTTGATATAAATTAGGCACATTGAATTATAAATGTATTAAAATGTGTGATAAATATATCATACATGATTAAAACTTGTATTATACGTGAATAATAAATTGTTCTTTGTAATATGTGTCAAACTTGTATTATAAATGAATTAATATTGATCAAGTGAAAAAAAAATATTATTACTATAAATGATAAATATTTTATTATTACAGTAATATATTTATGTAAGTTTCCAATAAATGTTACATAAATACTTTATTTAAATTCAGAATCCGTTTATGATATATGAAATTTATCGAGTTACCAAGTAAATTGTGAGGTAGCTCATGTCCTTCTCAATTGAATGTGTTGGGCTTGCTCGACAGTCCACACTTGTTGGGCCCAAGTATTTGTTTGTAACATTTGTTTTGTTATCTTGTTTGTTGGCTCCTTAAGACATCTTATATTATTGTTAGAAGACATAATATTAGGACAAGGGAGGATCTATAGGGATACTCTTGGGTTTACAATAACTTGTATAACTAAAAGCATTATCATCTTCTTCTATATGTTGAAGTATGAAAGTTTGTAATAGGTATTGCTTAGATGATTCTTCATTTGTTATGGATACGATAATTGAAATTATAGACCTGTCGATGCTCTAAAGAAATTTAACTCATGTACCATTTTAATGAGCGAACAATCCAATCCTTAAAAACATAAATACAACCTCACAAGGGCAAACGAGATCGATATGAGTTCTTAGGAAAGACCAGACTGTTATCACTAGAGTATACTTATTAGAGGACTCAATTTTGACAAATTTGAAACACGACTTGAATATTCGAGAATTATATTTGTCTTTTAAAGAGACAAGGAGAACTTCCAAGTCAACCGAAACCTCATAAAAAAAATTAAAAGAAGAAGAGAAAAAAAACCCTATAGAGTATACAACAAATATGAGATAAAATACATACTTTACATTAAACTAGCAAGCTAGAAACTACATACAAGTAACTTGCAAGAATTTTGACAAATAATTTAGTACTTCTCTTTGTTGGTTCTCAAAAAGAAACTATCCCACTCATGCTTTTGTAATGTCCCAAATGTATGATACTTCCAGCTAAATTCTTCATCAAATATCATACTTGAATATTTGCCCTGTCTCATCTCTTTTCTTATTACATCCACTCTTTCAAGAACCCCTTTCACTGCCAAATCAAATGCATCTTTAACTGTCTCCAATCTTGTTCTTGGATCTGCATAAACTACATTTGGTATAAGCTTTATCACTTCTTCTCTCATTGCTGCTACTTGTGATTTTGGTATTTTAGATAGTACATTTTCGATGCTCACTTTCTTTTTCCTAACATCATCTTCCGGTATGAGCACTGAGTATTTGGTGTAATCTTTTGGCAAGTGCCATATATATTGGACATACGCGGATCCAGGAGTGAAAAACACTGGGATACAACCAGCCAAAATTGAATCGAAAGTAGACCTCCTAGTGAACGAATCCCCTGAGGGTTGTAAGCAAAAAATTGAACTTTGAAACAGCCTCATTACATGTTCAGGCTTGTTGCATTTGTTGTGTAAGTCTTTACACTCCAATAGCTTGCATTTACGCCTCGTGGCTGAGCATTGTTCCATGATTTCACTTCTTATTGAGTCCTCAAGTTGAGGACGTGGAGCCCCCGCGAATGAAAACAACACCCTCCTCCTTAACTTCCTCATCCTGTTCTGCCACTGTACTACATCACTGTCACTTGAAGGATGGAAATAGGTTGGATATGGAATCGCGAAATCATTCCTGTTCCAAGGACTCGATTCGATTGTTAAGATAGTCATGTTCTTTGCCTCAGGTAACAACATTAACTTGTTCCCCCAAGCTGAATCTTCCTCAATACCTCTCCTAAAATCCCAAGTAATTCTACCAGCAATCATGAAATGATCTCTTCCCCACATTGTCTTCCATTCAGGTTTTTCCTTGAGAAACTTTGCGACCTCAATTGCACCAGCATCCCTCATTGATGTGTTGAAATCATCCCACAAGTACCTAGCAACATCGAACCCTGAATAGTATGGAACGAAAACTGCTGATGCTACTGAAGAATCATTCGTTAGACAATCGTACTGTTTCATTCTGTTATGAAACAGAACTTCTAACGAAAATTGATTCGTAGTATACCAACCTTTGTTCATGAAAATCCTTTGAGGGTTTCCAAGATCAGGACCAAGCCCCATATTTACCAAATATTGACACATATCTTCCCATTTATTCAACAATTTACATTCCTTCAACATGATTTCATTGAACTTACTAGGTATTTCTGCCACATAAATATATCGTCCTGCACATTTTCCTCCCTTCTTCTCAACTTCCTTTTCGATCTTTTTCTCTTCTTTTGGAGGTTCCATTTTTCTTAACAAAGGTTCCAATTCCTTCTGGAGTTCCTCCAAATCAGGTACTACCACATTATCATTTTCATTAGACAGTGATTCTTCCTCCTTGGATCGCGTCGTCTCGTTGCTAGCATTATCATCATCAACACTTGTAGCATTGAAATTGGAGCTAACATTATGAACATTTTCATGATGAGGAGGTGGACGAAAGGATTCAATTGAATTTACTTCATATCGTGACGTTGTTACAAAACCAGGTAAAGAAGACCAATCAATTCCATAAAGCAATAAGTACCAAGAAACAAATAGAAAAAAGAAAACAAACCAAAATTTATTGCGAGACCTTGTTGTGAGGGAGTTATCCATTTTGTTTTACAAATGTTCTTGATCTAATTATCTTTTTTTTTCTTCTATTAAGCATAAACATAAAAGGTGTTTTCTGGCTTTAACCATGACGAAAAATAAAATTAAAAAAATTGATTGTTTTGGCACATAACAGAGGGCGGTAAGATGCTATAAAAATGCTTCTTCTGTTTGGACTATTCATAGGATTAGTTTAATCACTCACTCAATTAATATTGGACCACGTTTGTTTAAACATTAATCTTTAATCAATTTGACGTTAAATATAATAAAGTATATTTAGAAAGTCTCACATATTTAAATTCATATGTTATCAACTTATAATAATAGTCTCATATACGATATTTTAGAAATTTAATTCAGAAAAGTTGTGTATCACAGTAGCCCAAGGCCCATCACTAATCTAACCACTTTTGAACCTCTCTTTAAATTCTATCTTTGATAGTTTATGAGTTAATAAATTTCACCTTTACAACTAATTTGATGAATTTTATGTTTAGTTTTGCGGACAAATTTAACCAACTGAATTAACAAGAATATCATCATTTGTGCACTGACTGCAACTCAATTTTGAAAACGTATGTATTGAATATCGAGTAATATCTAAAACTTTTGATTGAGGTAATTCCTACGTAAACAAACCTATATTTATGAATTATGATGTTAACCAACTTATTAGTCTAATATGATATTAGGCTATATATTGTCAATTTTTTAAGGATCTGGACACACTTAATGTGCATAAAAAATAATACTCTACTATTATTTATTTTTTGTACTTTGATGGGATCTAAATGGTAGTTTAGGCACATTGCACATGGTAAAGTTAACACATGCCGGCAAGAACAAATGAATATGAGTATCCATCTAGTTCTAAATCTAATTTTCTCTAGATTTAATTAATGGTTCTTTAATTGTCGAAAACTAAGGTCTTGCATTTCTAGAGTACTAGCCTACTGGGTACTAATTATTAAATCTAAAAGTCTTAATAACATCGCAAAGATAAAACAGAAAAAAAAGAACTATTATATTATGTCAATTAAATATTTAATTTTGATTGAACCACATTATCAAAATATCTTAAGAATTAGGAGTATGATTTTGACTTATATTCAGATCGAGAGTTTTTAAGTCTCTCATTAATCACAAGATTTTGTTGGACAATATTTTGAAAAAAATAATCGGTAATTGAGGAAACTTTGAAGGAAGCTGGTAATGACTATTTAAAAATTAGTTGAACAAACTATGGAAGAAGAACATGGGGTTCATAATAACGCGTTAAATCCAGCCCGCGAACAGCGGGATTTTATTATTTACGGTAAAATAAACTTAAAAAAAAAACTCAAAACGGCAGAGACAAAAGCAAAATTAACGAAACAAATCATTACAAAAGAAATAACAATTTTACTGTAGTTTCCTCAGAAAAACCAGAGTCCATCGTCGGTGCTTTGTCTCTTCCTTTCTTCTTCCTATCTCTTCTCCATTTCTCACGCCCTTTTGACTTCCATGTCACTCTGTTTTCCTCTCCTCTAAAACACCCCCCCATTACTCAAAAGAAAAGAGAGGTTGAGCTTAATGGGTCCAGACAATAGCTTCACAGCTCAGAAAAGAGCTGGTGGAGCACTACCCACTACCGCCACACCCAACGGCGGCGCCGGAGGAGGACGTGCCAGCTCCATTTTACCTCGGGGAAGACAGATCCAACGTACTTTCAACAATATTAAGATTACTATTCTTTGCGGCTTTGTTACTATCCTTGTCCTACGTGGCACAATTGGTTTCGGCAATCTCGCTTCATCAGGACCTGATGTTGAGAACCTGAATCTAATTGAGGAGACGAACCGGATCATAGCCGAGATCCGATCCGATAAGGACCCGGATGACTTCTTCACCCTTAATGCAACGTACAGGTTAGGACCGAAGATTACCGCCTGGGATGAAGACAGGAAACTCTGGCTTCAGAAAAACCCTGAATTCCCTAATTTTGTTCAAGGTAAGCCTCGTGTTATGCTAGTAACTGGTTCGCCGCCAAACCCTTGTGATAATCCAATTGGGGATCATTACTTGTTGAAGGCTATAAAGAACAAAATTGATTATTGTAGGATCCATGGGATTGAGATTGTTTATAATTTAGCTCAATTGGAAATGGAAATGGCTGGGTATTGGGCTAAACTGCCGTTGATTCGTAGACTAATGTTGTCACACCCTGAAGTAGAGTGGATATGGTGGATGGATAGTGATGCTCTATTCACTGATATGGTCTTTGAGATCCCTTTTAACAAGTACGAAGATCATAATCTTATTATTCATGGCTACCCAGATCTATTGTTTGATCAGAAATCATGGGTTGCGGTAAACACGGGTAGTTTCCTCGTAAGGAATTGCCAGTGGTCTCTTGATTTGTTGGATGCATGGGCACCAATGGGGCCGAAAGGTCCTGTTCGTGAAGAAGCTGGGAAGGTGTTGACAGCTAACTTGAAGGGTAGACCAGCATTTGAAGCAGATGATCAGTCTGCGCTAATATACTTGCTGACCTCACAGAAGGATCAGTGGATGGACAAGGTGTTCATTGAAAATTCTTACTATCTACATGGATATTGGGCAGGGTTAGTTGATAGGTACGAGGAGATGATTGAGAAGTACCATCCAGGTTTGGGCGATGCAAGATGGCCATTTGTAACTCATTTTGTGGGATGCAAGCCATGTGGGAGCTATGGAGATTATCCTGCGGAGAGGTGCTTGAAAAATATGGAGAGGGCTTTCAATTTTGCAGATAATCAAGTGCTTAACTTGTATGGGTTTAGACATGAGGGATTGTTAAGCCCAAACATCAAAAGGATTAGGAATGAAACAGATAATCCATTGCAGTATGTAGATCAGTTAGATGTTCGACATGCAAAGCATGAGAGCACAGAAACTCACAGCTAGTGGCCACACCAGCTTTTGCATAGAAGAATCTGCAGGTATATGAGATATCATTTTGGTTTGTTTGTATTTGTAGGTTAGATCTGTAACACTCTGTAATGTAAACATGTCAACATAGCTCCCTTCCGCATCTCGTTACGTCTTGAAACCTGAGTAACCATTGCATATTTCCTAATTGTTTTTGGTCATTCTTGAAGAACTTGTACTCCGAATGTGTTGACAAGATCTTAGTTTCCGTTAGTATTTTTGTTTACCATAACTGTTGTATTGCTGATGCACAATCACTATTCATTTATTTTCTCCCCTGCCTGAGTTATCAGCATTTTGACCCTGTTTTGCAAATGACATCCCCCTATCCTCTATTAGATTGTCCAGCTGAACACATGGAAACTCCTAATTGGCTTATTAATCGAATGCCTGACATCAGATTTGGTCTTCTGTTTTGCTGTTAGATTTTCCAGCAGGGTCCTTTTTGCGAGTAGACCTTTTAACCAGCCTCCATTTTTACCCCCCTCACCACCCCCAAAATAAAAGAGAGGGGGAAGAGTAAAAATGGAATTTCTGAATGAAAATGCTTGTTTTATTGCTAGATTGATGCCGATATATCAGGGTTGAGTTCTTTCTCTCTGTAAACTCTACGATGTTTGTGACTTGAGAGATTAAGAATCTTGGCAGTTCTCCCTTCTCCTCTTTAATTTGAGGTGGGACATCTTCTAGTTGGTAATATTCATGACTTGCCCTATCTTTCTAATGAGAAAGCATGCCTTACCTTAGAATGGGAACCAGGGATGGGTGAGGGTAACTGATTTAGACGACTGCTATATTGTTTTATTTGAGAGCTTGGATTAGAACATCTCCTTCGAATTAAAATGTCTATATTGGTGATGGTCTTTTTGAATCTCTTTTATTATCATAAGGAGGAGGATTGTGGTAGATTGACAACCAGCGTGTAAAGCTGATTAATATGTGATGAATCTTAGAATACACGACATAGATATAACTTATCATAGCTAGATTGAGATTGAGGCATAGTAGTTGTTTCTTCTTGTGAAGTGTCTGCTTTGGCCTATCGAGTTCATCATTAGATATTAGATTTTGATTTGTTTTTTACCTTTCTACTTCAACCTTACATTAGTCCCTGTAATAAGGTGCTGATAAATATTCTTGTGTTGTATAAATGGAGATGTAGCCCAGGTGTTTTAGAGATCAATTGGTTCGACCAGCAGATTGGTTTAGTCAAGCATGGCAAATCTATTCAATGATTTATCTGAAATCACTTGTTAAATAATAATGTATTCATATGATATGGCTTGTACTTTGTTAAGTGCTCTGTTTTGTTTTAATTTTATGATGAAGCAACATACACCAAATAAAAACTACTATGCCTCAGTTCCATATAACTTGGAGTTACGATTAGTGGATGTGCAACTATGGATTTGGGTGGGATGATGTTGGTTTACAGCGCTGCATATTAACTGCCATGCAAATCCCATTTAAACTGAATTACATACTGCTAATCTAGGCTTCCTAATTCTTAAGCGCTGTTCTCTTTTACTGCACCTCTTTAAAAAACCATTGTGTCAGATCTAAAGGACGGACTTTGTTATCCTTATACACTATTTATTATTTGTGGTCTAAACATTTTCCCAAGTTTCTTGATCTTTTACCGTCCATAATAACAGTATTTCCGGATTTTCCACAGGGTGCGACTGAGGTTTTGACCTGTCGTGGATGAGAATGGCTCTCTTGGAAAGAAGTGGCCATGTTTCTTCTGGTTGTTATACTTTGGTGGTCAAGCCTTGCATCCTTTTTTTTCCTCCCACGGTTTTAAGTTTGTGTTAGGTTTACTTATTTCTAGCAATATTTTAGTTTCTCAGCGAGATGCCTTTTGAACTGTATGAATGATATGCTTGGAAAAGAACAGCTGGAACCAAATAGAATGAGTGTAGAATTTGTCTAGATAGCTTCAACATGAGTTACTCACTCTCAACCTACACCTTTGGTAGGTATAAGATGTGATCACACTTGTATAATTGCAATTCTTGGACGGTTTTTTCTGTTGGTTAATGATTTTTTGGTATATGATAGTGGACCATAAAGTTATATGAACTTGAAAATGTACCAATATTAATTCATCTTCTTTCATTCTTTTAGCCTTTTCGCCAAAGTTTGAGTAGTTCCATCATATCGATAACTTGTCCAGCAGATGGTGGTATGAGGGCAACTGTTTTTTTCTTTTAGAGGGCCACATAATTGTGCAGTACATCCACAAGCTCTGCACAAAACTATCATTTTCAAATCCCATTGCAGAAAATTGTTGAAGCAAGCACTCACAGATATAACCCTGTATTCTTGTCAATGTAGTTTTGTACCTTGCAGCTGATTGATCAGCTTCAAAGTTTCCTCCATATATTATTTGGGAGTTGAGAATGTTTATTCACTAACTGATGATCTCTTAAAATAGTTAGAAACACCTACAGTACTATTTACGTTGCCTGAGTTGGGGTTGGGGGGAAATGGAAAATAGCGGAGAGGAAAAGAACTTTCTTTGTTTTCCCACCCAGTGTCCAGTACCCACATTGGAGCCTGACTATATCCGGATACGCGCCAGAAAGTCCCACATTGGGAGGTAAAGCGCTCCTTAACAAAGATAAGATGACTTTCGTACCCAAGGGGACTCTAACATCAGATTGAGGCCATCCACTTTTAGGATGGATGGAGTACTTGCAGAAAGCCAAGGACTAGCAAGTATTTCTTCCCTGGAGGTACTGTAGGTATCGATTCAACAATCTACATAATTCACTGTAAATTGTGTTTTTCCTCGTTGTCCACACGGCTCTCATAGTTTGTTCTTAAAGCTGTTCTGGGGCAGGCCCGTGCTTATAGATATTAGATCAATGACTTTCTTAGGATCCCGGTGTTGTATCCCTGGGAAATCAGGACATTATGATGCTTAGTAGTAGATTAGTTGCAGCTTCGGCCATTTGCATATTTTGTTAACTTGGAGATTCAGAGATTCATATCTAAACAAACCTACCATTTGTGGTATATTTGCAAGAATTGAGTTTCAAACTACATGCATACACAGTACGTTAATGGACTTAGAGCATCGACATTCAGCATGATGAATGTGCGCGTATTGACCATTATCCCTACACTGCATAATATTGATACATACTAATTTCAGCTAATTCTTGGACAGATTACGTTTGTGCATAGCCACAAATACCTGATTCATCTCTGCTATTTGACTTAGAAGTTGATTTATTCTCTGCAAAAAACGAACCACCAGGGATTATAAACCAGTACTATAGTTAAAACTAATTAACTCATGGGAATTTTTGTAGCAAAAATTAACAGACCTCATCTTTCGCTCTAATGGTGCGTCTCAGCTCTTCCCCATTCTGTGCTCTAATCAATCTTCGTCGCCTACGAAAATACGCAAACATCACAAGTATTGCCGCCATACCAAACGGCGAGAGAACAATCGTTACAGCCCTTCGAGCTGAAGTGAAACCCCGGTTTAAAATGCTACTTCTAGAGAACAACACTTGCAGTCCCAAATTCCACCATCTTCCTCCGTTACAAGCTGCTCTGGCTGGGGGCCGAGGACTATCTGGTACAGATTTCAGTGGATCCACTACATTGGAATCTGAGGCTGCGAATGAATAGGACGAATCATCGTTATCTCTATGAGAAGGTGAAAATGAGGATGATGATAACGACGACACCGACGGGGATGAGGGAAACGGCGGTGACGATGACTGGCTATGAGTTTTCTGAACAGAATTCACGGATATGTAAAGGTTCTCGTGGTTTACCGGAGGAAATACCGCGAACTCGCCGGAAGATTTGTGGAGTGTATTATCTCGGATCTCGAACATAGAGCAAACGACCGATGGTGGATCGGAAAGAGATCGAAAATCCTTCCTACGTTCCCATTTCATAAGCTTCTCTAGCTGAGTTTCTGTTACCGCGACTTCTTCTTCTACATCGAGATCCGCCATCACCATTACTAAACAGTAAACAATTGCTCACACATCTGAGACCCGTGACCATCTGGACATTTCTATGGCCCAATTATATATGTTTGCCAAGTGCAAAGATAGCCAATTTTGGTAACCCAATTTATGCTTTAGCCATAGTATACAAAATGAGCCAACAACACATATCTCATTAGTTTAAGACATTATTGCATCTCTTCAATTATGTTTTGTACCATATTAACTTCACCCTAATACATGAGAGTCAAACCAAAAATACGTGTATTTATTATTTTTGATACATTTATCTGACTTAAAATTTGTAAGAGTGATGTATTCGATTTGAAATCTAATACCATGTAATTATTTCACCTATAAGGTAGGTTAGTATTTCTTGTAGAAATATTTGTATAGTTAGATAATGTTTCCATACAAAATATTTTACTCAAGTTTAGTCACTTTTGAATTATATTATTCAAATTACTCTATAAAATTTGAAGTAGAAATTATAATTTTTTCTCAAATCTTGAGTGTATTTTTTCTACAAAGACATGTTTGGTTAAATAATCATGATAATCCAATTTCTTAAAATGAAGTCCCACTTTCAATAATTTTTTTTAAAATAAATTATTTTTTTAAAAGACTTCTCTGGTGGAGGTTAGTGAAATTTGCAGTTTGGTAACTCGCAAGATTCATAATCTTGAGGTCACGAGTTTAAAATTTATTTTCGTAATATCTTTGTTCCGACAGCATGTAATCACCTCTTGTCTTCTTTTGAGGGTGGAAGGCGAAAAGAAAATGCGGAGGGGAGGATAAATGACTACATTTGCAACAATACCAACTCCTTAATTTATGAATATTCAATAATAAATTTAATAATAATAAAAATACTTTTTTGATAAAACATTTTCTTTTAAATCGAAGACACCCTAAAATATTCTTTTTTATTCGTTAAAAAAATTGACATTTCAAAAAGGCATATCCATCCATACATGATCCGGGTGGATGAAATTGAAAAACTGGGCCAGCCTATCTCACTTGATTTGATATTCTAATAAATAAAAAATTTGACACGAGCTAATGCACTTTTTAAACGAAAAAAACAAAAAATAAATAGTATATAATTCAAAAATATCCTTGTTTCATTAATACTCTCCTTTCAATAAATTTTTATTAATACAATCCAGAAACAGGATTATTAATAAATCACAATTAAGATCTTAGTCAAATAATCTCCAAACTAATACATTTTTATGGTTGCTGGAATTAAAAATTACAAGTGGTGGAGTATTTTACTTGGTGCAGATTGAAGGGTTCAACATTCGGCGTTACTTTTTAACTTCTCAGTTTACACCTTTCAAATCCAAAATCCAACTTAAAAACAATTAAACACTCGTTAATAGGGAAAATTGTATATAATAGCAAATTAATAATTTAAAATAAATGAAATTGCTAGGGTATGTTTTAATTGTGCTCCATAGCAAACATTAGCCAAAATTTGCCAGCGTCTCTCTCCCAAAAATTTCGCTCGCCACTCTCCATTCTCGCTCGCCACTCTCGCTTTATACACAGAAGTGTATAATTCTGTTTCTGTTTTGTATAAAGCGAGAGAAAAGTGTATATACACATGCAAAAATATATATCTTCGTGTTATACACTTAATTATACAATTTACAAACATTTTACTTCAAATACTGCAGAGAAAAAGGTTAACGAATTATACAATTGCAGTGAAATACAATTTTCTCTAGCTTTATACAACAAAAGTGTATATATTGTGTTTCTATTTTTGTATAAAGCGAGAGAAACATATATCTTCTTGATATACACTTATAATTATGCAATATACATACATTTTAATTCGATTCAACTGTATGCAAAGTAAATTATACAATTGCAGCGAAATAGGCCAGCGAATTATACAATTGTATATGTATAGCGAATATACAGTTTTATGTTTGCTATGGAGCGCAATTATGCAAAATTTGCTATAGCATACAAATATATATATATTTTTTGCTATATGTGAAAGTTACCCTTAATTAATCAAATTATTACCGGTCCATTTTTTGGTATTAATTTATTTTTCTTTTTTAATTCAACAATTAGCAATATTTAATTTCAATTATCAGTTATCCAAATTAAACGTTGAAAGTACTGAACTGAATATCGAAGAGAGAAGTAAGCTTTGATTCTACTTAGACAGAAGACAAGAAGGAATTGATTGAACATCACAAAGAAGTTGCTGAAAACAATACAGGTTTGTAAGTAATGTTTGCCTTTTTTATTTATAACAAAACAAAGTCTTCACATAAAGTCGTAAAAAATAGCATTGCTTTATTTGTGGCTGTCCTCCCTATTAGGTGTCACAATTCAATCTGTATAAAATTGTCCAAACTAGTCAATTCAACTTTGATTAATCGACCAATACATATACTCGTTTTATTTTTTACGTAATTTCTATAGAGATTTTCTTCTAATTTATCGAATTTCAAACTTAAAACCTTTATAATTATGAACGAAAAACATACCTCAATCATATATAAAAGATTTTTGGGTAACTATCTCGTGAAGCTAAATTGATACATAAGACAACTTAGATTTAGAGTATTTTTTGTTTCTTTTCTATTTTTTTTACAAAAAACACACAAACTCTCAATAAGGGAAATATGTTGGTTGGTGATGAGATACCAAACAAGGAAAAATGTAAAAGATATAATAAATTTGAGCTAAGCAAATTGTTGACCTATTTCTTTTTAGCTCAAAGTGTGGAACAAGTCACACAAATCATAAATATTTGGGTATCGTTTAATAGCTGATTAGAAGAAACGTTATGAATATATTAAATTATTTATAAATAACTTATGTTTGATAGTTGGTTAGAATTACGTATAAAATTAATATAGCATTTGGACCATTCATAAATTACATAACTAAAACATATAAACTTATGTAAGTATATACCTATGTACAATTTTATGCATAATATAAGATAAACTAATTTTAATATACTAATATCAAAATTATATATTACTAATACATATATAATTATTATTTTTTCTTTTCTTTTTGCTTATATACATCAATACATGTCTCATGTCTGTAGTACAAAATAATTTGCTTTGAAGTATTTGTTGTTTGTGTTCCTTTGGAGGATCCAACTCATACTTTGAGTTTTTACTTGAGAAACAGTAATTATAAATTAAGAGTTATATATTATATAGTTATTTTTTTAAAAATAATATTTTATTTATTTTAACTTACTTTAGAAACGTAACACGAATAACATGACAAATTTGCATTAACTCCTCCTCCCCCTTAACCTTTTTTCAGTACTAGACAGTAATAAACAATTTACTTGTATTTTGTTTTAATTCAAAAACAACACCTTTCAGGTTCATACTTTTTTTTTAATTTAAAAATATTTAATACAGTTGGCCTTTGATGCTTTCAAGAGAAAAATTAGAAAGCAAATGACTGATGTCATTTTTTTTCACGTTTTGAATAATTAAATATTTATATGATGTTTGATTTGATTAGGTTTTGATAATTTTAAAATTGATTAAGTCGATTTGATTTTGATTTCATAACTAATAATTAATTCAAATTTGCCCGTGAACAGCCTAAACATAAATATTCTTAATTTCTTTTTGTCATAATACATAAATGTGCTCTTTGACTTGGTTCAAATTATATTTATGCTTTTCAATTTTGAATGTGCACAAATAAACACTTAAACTTCTATAAAGTTGAACAAATAGACACATACTCTACATGTCATCCTACATGTCATTTTTTATTCTACATATGGTGTCCTACGTGTTTTGTGGTCATGTAGGACTCATGTGTTTATTTATTTAAAAATTGGATAATTAAAGTGTCTGTAGTACATTATGAAAGTCGAAAATCAAAATTAAAATTTAAAGCTAAATTTAGAATCTAATATATGTACTATACCTTTCTTTTTTTTATTAGTTATTTTGGTCATGCGTTTGTAACTAAAAATGTACTTTCAAATCTGGTTGATTTAGGGTCATTATAGCTAAAAAGGAAATATTCAAATAAAATAACTAGAAACTATCCGTAAACTATCATAATATCTATTATAAATATGAACAAATTACCACAAATTTAATTATATAGAATGTCGTTATAATTAATTACGTAGATACTACTTACATAGAGATAAACATAGGTTAGTAAGCTAATTCTTCTTTTCAAAAATAATTAATGAGCTAATAAATCATAAAGTAAATAACAAAAGAAAACTTACATAAATATACTATAATAACAAAATATTCATCATTTATAGTAATAATATTTTTTTTTCGCTTGATCACTTTTAATTTTATTTATAACGCAAGTTTAATTCATATTACAAAGAACAATTTTTTATTCATATATAATACAAATTATAATGATAAATAATTCATTTATCACACATTTTAATTAACTTATAATACAATGTGTCAAAATTTTTTACCAAACAAACATAATAAATCTAAAAAACAATTATAATTCATATATATTACACGCATAATTTACTTTTAATACATATGACAAATTTAACATAAAATACTGTTATAAATAATAATAAATAAAAAATATTACTAATATTTACATTTTAATCGAGTACTAATTAGTGACAATTACAATGCCACCTAGAGCCGCGAATAATTTTTTTTTGCACTTCAGCGTGTGGTGCAATTGTGGGCTATAAACATGTCAGGAAGACTTTTATAAGTGAATCCTTTTATCCTAAAGTGAAAATTTAAGGGCATTTATTCTTGAGAACGAAAGCTCTCGCAATAATTCCAAAGTTATGGATTGAAAAAGTTTTACACTTTCTAGAGAGAGAGAGGGGATCTGCAGTACAGTGCAGAGTACACAGAGAGAGAAGGACCACGTAGACGAATACAGTCCATGTATGTAATGAAGGATTCTTGGAAGAACACGATACTTTAACTCCTAGTCTTCTTTTTGCTTTTAAACGACATCGCTAATCTTCTTCTATTGCTATATACTATTTTTTTACATAGCTCTGTGTTCTTGCAATGTCCGGCGAGGCTTCTTCGTCTGGGTTTAATCTTGAAGGAATTGATGATGTTCAAGATTTTCCATGGGTTTGTTTTTTTTTTTTTCAGTTTTAATTACAACTCCACTGTTCTTGGGATGTTTTCTTTAATGGGGGTCTCTTAGATTCTGTTCTTGGGCTGTCTTCATTAATGGGGTAATTGGGGTGTTTTTTGTTTTTTTTTTTTTTCAAAATGGGGTTTTTTAGATTCTGAATAATTTTTTTTTCCTGATGGAATGCAGGCGAATTCAGGAGAGACGCCATCTATATCGTGGGACAGGTACAGTCATCTATGTGAGACTATGGAGATGGGTAACAAAGCATATCGTGAGAACAGATGGGACGAGGTAATAAACCCAATTTTCTTTATGTTGTAGCTTTGATACTTGGTTAAGTTATTCTTGGGGTAGTGGTGATTATTCAAGAATTCTGAGAACTGAAGATTTAGAACTGAAAAGGAAGCGTCTTGCAATTTAATTACCTTTGACTTGGTCGTTTTTCCTCAAAGATTTTTGTTCGTGTTAGATATCCATATAATTGGAAAATAAAAGGGGGGAATGGTCTGTTTGTCTGGAGTAAAGTGGAGTGGAGTGAAGAGGAGGTGGATCTATTAATTTGATTCAGTGTCAAAGACTTCAATTGGCGAATCCCATAAACATGACTATGTTTTGTTTCCTGGGGTAACCTTAAATGAAATTGATCACTTATATATATAAAACCACTATATTCATCTTTCAGTTTCTTTCCAATGTTGGTACTGTTGTCATGAATCTAGTTTCTATCTTCTTTATTGTGAGTGATAGTGATACATAGTTCTTTATGCCAAATAAACATTAGCCTGTGATTATGCAAGTTAGTCAGGGAAGTTTCCTTCTTTTCATACCTCCACTCGGGCGGGTTTCTAAGTGAGGGAAATGTTTATCATGAAAAATGTGGGTAATCGTCTTATGGATCATTTTCTAGCGGTTGTCTTGGTATAAGTAGGTGGCATGTGGTAATCCTAAAAGGCAGAGGATAGGGTTTGAGACAGTAATATTGGTGATAAGTATTAAAAATTGAAAATAAATGTTTACATGTTCTTAAAAGATCACTCGCTTAAAACATTTATGTGTTCTTCTAAGCAAGTGAGAAATAGAGTATGTATCCGTTCTATTAGGAAAGGAAAATGACCTCCACCCATAATTTACGGGACACATCTATTGGTAACTAGATACTGGAAATGATAGATCGTGGAAAATATTTTCTCCATACCATAATAAACCCTTGGTTCTCTCATTGTTTCTCGTATTTTTTAAGAGGTACGATAACCTACCGTATCATATAACTTGAAATATTTACTTCCTGAGCAAGCAAAGATTTGACGCTAAAAATCAGAAAGATGCACAAAATTTAAAACCAAAACGTTTGAGCTCTCTGTTTCTCATGGTTGATGAAGAATGGACTAGGTCTATTGTTCTACACTCGTTTCGTAAGAGGTGATGTTTCCTGGGCAGTTCAATAAAATAGATTTGGAGAAAATTTTGAGATGTAAAATCAAGTGCATGTGGTCCAACATCCAGCTATAACTACATGACATAGTAATTGAAGACGCTTGAGGGGCTCTGGTTTAGAGTGATGTTCTAGATGTTGTTTTGACAAGCATACCAGTGCCCAATCTAGTGGTCAAATTTTTCCTTAATGTTGTCAGTTAACTCGATAACTAGCTTCTTCAGCAAGGATGATTTGAACTTGCACTGTGTAATATATTTGATCTCATACAGGATCTTGTATGTTTGCATTTATCTTCTTGTTTTCTCAATGTCTGTTTTCTTGGTTAGGCAATCAATCGTTACACAAGAGCTAGCAACATTAAGCCGGATGATCCTATTATTCTTAGCAACAGATGCGCTTCATACCTCAGGTAAAGTTTATTTATATGCCTGGTATTTCTGATGCATATTGACTGCTTTACTGCGATTTTGATTCATCTCTGTTTACCTTGCCATCTTTACTTCATGTTTTCTATTTGACTGCTCACCATTTTACAAATAGCTGACTTAATTTTTTATGAATGAACTTCCAGGTATAGCCAATTTCTGAAAAGTAGATCTGCATCAGATTCAGAATACAGGCCATTGAGTGGGTTGGATCCAACAACATATGCTGGGGTATGTCTGCTTTTTTCTATTGTCTATGTCAATAGAGAGTTTTGCAGAAAATTTAAACTGTTTTACTTCAATATCAGCTTGCACTAAAGGATGCCGAGAAGGTGATGCATCTGCAGAACAATTCAGTTACCTCATATATTCTGAAGGCAAACTCACTCATTTTGGTAAGGAAATTAATGTATCATGCATCATTAGCTTTGGAAACCACATGGTGAAACATGTGTCGGTTTTGGAAAATAGCCTTGTTTTCTATTTTCCTTTTTGTTGTTTTCTAAATTCGTTAATACTTTGAGGATGGGTTAAATAACTAAATTGGATTTTTCCTTGGGTGTTGGGACCCCCTCGTATACATTGTTCTATTTTGATAGTAGCAGATACTTCAACTGTCTAATTCACTCAATGGTCTTATGTTATCTCATCAAATCCTTATTTGTTTATTTATTCTGCTTGTTGTGTCAGTTTGTAACTTTTTCAATATAGTGAAGGAGATTGCTATACTTCCAATCTCTTCTTAAACATTTCATGGCTTGATAATCTTCTTGGACACTCATCTCATATTCTTTAATTGGCAGTTAGAAAAATATGAGCTCGCCCAAGAGATAATCCGTTCAGGACTTCAAATAAATCCTCAAAGGTAAAGCAAATTATGGTGATAAGCATAACTATGGCATGCTTTCTCATGTTAGTAGCTTTTCAAAAGAAGCATAATGTTTTTTCCAGAAGCATTGTGGTAAAGTCTGATTATGTGGTGATTTTTAATTGTTGTTTCTTTTGCAATGTAGCAATCCCCTTCTAAATTTGGAGAAATCGATCAAAACTACACTTGGAAGGAGAACCCACGGGAGACCACAGCGCAGTGATGAATTTGACTGCACCCTGTGCTTAAAGTTATTATATGAACCTATAACAACTCCCTGTGGACATTCTTTTTGCCGTGCATGCCTTTTCCAGTCGATGGACCGATGTAAGTTTTAGACTCGCATGCCCTATCTGATTATCCCAACTTTTTTTTTACATATTGAATTATAATCATCTTCTATTCTTCTTACTCTTGTTCCTTACCCTTTGATGAACATTTTGTAGATAACAGATGTCCATTGTGCCGAACAGTTCTTTTCATTAGTCCCAGAACGTGTGCAATCAGGTAAGTTGCTTATGGTTCATCATCCCATTGTACTTGTTTTACACTTACTGCTGAGACTGGTTTCTCTATTTTTCTTTTCTTTTTAGGATAATAAAGATTCCTGGTAGCATCCAGTCACATGCTTTATTGCTTCCTCTCCGTAATGCTGTGTAAATAGATTGATTTTCTAGACCACAATTCTTCCTGCAAAAGGAATAGAAAGCATATTGCGTCTGTACCTTTACATACCTTGATGACTCTTCACTATTATTAATGATTTAGTTGAACTCATTTTGTCCCATGTGGCTAAGATTTCATTATCTATATATTTATTGTGTGGCTAATACACGTCATTCTTATTTGCGCGTTTTCAGTGTAACGTTGAAAAACATAATAGAAAAAACTTTTCCTGAGGAATATGCTGAAAGGAAGGCTGAGAATGACAGTTTGATAAACCTCGGTGTTGACTTGCTGCCCCTTTTCGTCATGGACGTTATTCTACCATGCGAGAAGCTTGCACTCAACATTTTTGAACCGCGTTACAGACTTATGGTGAGTGCTACCTAACTATTATTCTCTTGACTATTAGTGGAGAATGCAGTTTTTACCTTTTTCGGTGTGGACCTAGATGGACCATTTTTCTATTTCTATATCTTGATGATCATGATTTTTATAGAATACTATTACCTATGGTCCCTATCATTAGTTTACCAGATATAAGAAAAGGTTTCAATAAAACTTTTGTGCTACTTTGACACAGAAATTATGAGGTAAAAAATGTTTAGATGATTGATGCTTATCACCAATAGTAGAAGTATTGGGACCATAATTAAAAGAACTACAAACATCCTCTTTTAGTTAAGTCTAAAAAATAAAAAGAAAAAGCAACAGCAACAACAACAACGACTGCACTTCAGACCCAAGTAAAACCGGCATCTACTTTACAAATCCAATATATCCAGTCTGCAAAAATTTAAACACGTGTCAGTTCCACTACTCAATTGATTTGTTAGACATCCTTTGAAATTAGGGATTCTCTTAATGTCACACTTATCTCTATACTTCAGACGATTTCTAAGATAATTTGTAAGTCTTCTCTCAGATCTGGACATTATGTAAGTGTGCGCAGAAAGTGGCGGAATCGTTAATGGGATTTTCTAGATATTGTTTATTTTTTGTCTAAGTTTTTCAAAGACATGATACAATAATGTATACCTGATTGAGGAGGACAATATCTGGCAATTGTGATTCTCTTTTGCTAATTTGTGCAATTCTGTGAAGACACCTAGAGAATCACTGAAAGATGGCTCCTGCAAGTAATCTGTCTGACTAACTAGTGAGCAGGCCTCAACTATTGTTAGATTTAACTAATGAACTATATATTTAGAAGCAAAAGAGAGGGAATAAAGTATTGAGAATCTTTTTCTTCTTGGTTGATTTTATAAATATAGGGAAACAACATAAAATAGAGAGCTTTTTGCAATTATTCCCCGGGCATAGAATAGGAATTTGGAAAGTATATACTTCTTTCCGACTGTCCAGAACTAAATAAATGAAAAGCATTATAATACTTGTCCCTCCTTTTTCTCTCTCATATTTTAATTTTCTCTGCTTATCCCTAGATTGCAGACAAGCCTTCAATCATGCACAGTTAAGATGGAATTTCATAGATCTCACATGCATACTTTTCTTGCAAATGTTTACAAATTTTGTTGTTGAAACAGATCAGAAGGATAATGGAAGGAAATCGCCGAATGGGAATGGTGGGTTTTCCTTTGATCCCCTCCCCCCAGTTATTACACTTCGTTTTGCTGTCTTCACTTTTGGCTGAGGCTTCACTGTTAATTGTGCAGGCTGTTCATGATTCTACGACAGGTTCGGTTGCTGATTATGCTTGTGAAGTGGAGATTATAGAGTATGTGTTCGCGACCTGTGAAGATTTTTGGGATATCTTTTATGTTTATTCTTCTATAGATTCCATCATTTTATTCTTGTTTATAGAAATTGAATACCTTCATCTCTTTGTGTAGGTGTGAGCCACTTCCAGATGGGCGTTTCTTTTTGGAGGTGAATATTAGCTTCCTGTTAGCATGGTGCTTATTTACTATTTATGAGTTCATTAACACAAGTGTCCAAACTGCTATATGATAACTTCTAAATGTAAAATAGTCAAGGTTCTTCACCATACACTAGCATGTATAATATTGCATCCATGTATAATATCCTTGGTGCACCTGACTGTTTAAAATGAAAATGTTCTTCTTGAACACTTTAACTATTTCTCTCTTCAGCAAATTTAGAATTCATATCTTTGCTAGATGGAACGTTGTTTTTTTTTTTTTTTTTGAGGACGAATTCAACAGACTATTATTTCCACCAGATGTGCTGTCATGTCTAAATGTCCCACCATAATAAAGACAAGTTCCTGCTGAATCTCTTTCCTAGAAAAAAATCTTCAAAGTTCTTTTAACTTGTATCTGATTTAACACAAACTTATGCAGGTTGAAAGTCGACGTAGATGTCGCATCATACGACATTGGGATCAAGATGGGTTAGTTCAATATCTATCTCCTTATTTTGAGATGAAAATTGGTAATTAAGTTTTGGAAGAGGTAAGAAGGGCACAGAAACATTGCTTCATGTACTATTAGTTGCCAAATGAAAATACAGAAAAGTAACTTTTGACCTTTTCTGTTCATTATACAAGCAAAAGTTTTGTAGGAAAGCAGTTCAAAAAGCTCACAAGAAGAAAAATTTCTTTGTAATAAGACCTGGAAAAGTGTAGGAAAGGAATTGGTTTCTTTCTGTTTCGAACTTTCCTTTTCCTTTCATACAAAAACAGATTTAAGAAAATGTTATTCTTTTTAATTTCTTTCTCAAAAGTAAATTTTCTTGTAAAAGAGGCCAAAGATCTGAAATTCTTCAAAGGGAGGGGCTGTTAGAAGTCTCTGTTGGTCTGTTGGTTGCTTTGCGTTAAGTCAGGAGATTGGATTCAATATGCTATCCCAAATTATTAAGCACATCACCTATGCTATACATTTCTCTTATTCTGCTATTTTATGCTTCTCTAAGCGTGCTTATTATTATTTTCCCCCCTTGGCCATTATTATGAAGGTATCGTGTTGCTGAGGTTGAATGGATACATGATATATGCCCTGCTGAAGGAACAAGAGAGAGGCATGAAGTAAGTTGTATAGCAATCCTCTGAGAGATATTTATCAATCCATTTTATGTATGAGCCTTGTTTTTGTGCTATATTAATTTTTTCTTATTTAACTGCTAAAAGAAAAATTCTTGTTTCTTGAACCTTGTGGCTCTGTTCGAGGATTTTTGGGGCAAACTGTTTTTCTTGGGATTCTTTTGAATTATGATCGAAAGATCTTTTTCCTTTCTCAAAGGTTTACTGATATATACTAGTGTGCGCATTTGCGTGTACTTGTATACTGTGTGCTATTTGTGTATATGTAGTACTTGTATATTAGTTCATCGTCAAGTGCTTAATGCTTTCATACCTAGCTTTATAAATATTGAACTGTAATTTGTCAATTGCTGATAGTTACTGGAGATGGCAAATAAGGCGGCGGCATTCGCTCAACAATGGTTGAGGAACGCACAACAAGTAGCAGGAGGTAAAGTCATTAATAATAAGATTTTTCCTTATTCGTTTTTTTTTGTGGCAAATGATTATAGTAGGTCCATTTGAAGGATGAGAACTGATGTTTTTTTTATCCTTCAATACATAGCTACAACACTTCCATCTATAGGTTTTGAAAGTAGATGTACCACTTGCATATATAGGTGTTTAGATTTTTGGTATGCGATTTACATGCTACAACACTTCATATTGGTGTGTTATCTATGAATCCTTCTGCATTAAAAGATTGCTTTATCAATCAATCCAACTGGTAATCATGACCCGAAAAACTTGTCGTCTCTATCAAACTATGTTGAAAGACTTTAGGCAGAGAGCTGAGCTTAATGTTTCTGCTTTGTGTGCTATAGTACAGCCTAATTATTCTTTTTGCTTAATTTTCATTCAGTACAAATATCATAACCTAGATTTTATGTACAGATCGTAGAAGTGCAGAACTCTTCAAAGCTGAAGGATTGATGCCATCACCACAGGATCCTGAGCGCTTAAGTTTTTGGGTATACACTCTAATCCATGTTCAAGTTAAAAACAATTAGTAAACATGAATTAGTTTTTTAATATTTTGGTGCCTAAATAAATGCAGCTTAACACTCTGACCGCTCGTAGACCAACAGAGAAGTTAGACCTGCTTCAAATAAGAGATACACCTGAGGTATTTTTTCTTCAATGCTTTATTTAAACTCTCTTTTTTCACGAGCGCTTTTCTTAGAGAACAAGGTTTTGCTACAAGACGGATGTTAGTGTAGCATGTCATGGCACTAGGCTAAAATGCGGTTGAGCAACTTAAACAAATTGGCTTATCCTAACATTGGTAAATTGCCTTATTCTAACATTGGTCAAGAAGGATTAGAGATGTACATGTAGATATAGTCAAAAGACGGGGTGGTTCTAGTGCTTCGGCGCTGAGTTCATCCAAACCCAGTATTTTCGACACAGTATAGATTTTAATGGGAAAAACCCACCAAAAATTTCAACAAATATTAGATCTAAACCCATAATTATAGAAGTACAATGAGTTTGGTGCTTGATAATATTATTAGTCGAACCCATCGTATTGAAATCCCAGATCCGTCTGTCAAAAGTCATGTTTCCTAGGCACTATTATCCATAAAACAACTCAAGGAACTGTTACAAAGACGTTCTCCTTTTTTCTCTGTTTCTTTCTTGATTAGTCGCTTATATTATCTGTTGCACTAATATCCCTTAAAACAATTCAAGGAACTGTTACAAGCATATTTTCTCTTTTTTCTCTCTGATTCTTTCGTGATTAGTCGCTTATATTATCTGTTGCACTAATATCCCTAAAACAACTCAAGGAACTGTTACAAGCAGATTTTCTCCTCTTTTCTCTGATTCTTCCTTGATCAGTCGCTTATATTATCTGTTGATTGTGCTTAATTTATTCCACAGAGGATAAGGAGAGGTCTGCTATACATGAAACAAGAAGAACAAGGTTGCCGGCTGCAATGATATTTATTGAACATGTAATTAGTTCCTTTTACATGAAAGCAGAAGAAGGCTGCCAGCTGATATAATTTTATGGTAAACCTGTAATTAGTTCCATTGTTTGTAATACCATTGGTTTTTCTGTAAAGCTCATTTTGATTTCAATTTTTTTTTGAATCCACATTTCTAGTACTGGTGGATCCTCAACTCAATTTTCCTCCTTCATAGAGATTTATCGTAAAAGCCTGCACTGTTATTTAAACTAGATTATTCATTTGTTGTAAACAGTGGGTTGGGTCTACCCCGCAATACATATAAGTAAAAACCAAAAGGACGAATTTTGTAGCCACAGTAGAATGGACCTTTTTGTTTGTATTGCAATTACAGGTTTGCTTACTTCACCAAATTCATTACCTTGTTTATCTCTGATTATGCTTTACTTGAGTCGAGAAAAAAAATCTCTCTACCTTTATAAGGTAGGGGTAAGATCGTGATACATCACCTCCTCCAGACCCCACACCATGGGTATGTTGTTGTTGAACCAGCTCAGCAAACCAACTGGAAAGCATGACAGAAGCCCCTGGGCATATGTAGTGTTTTCTTGCTCCAGTGCAACGGTTACTGCTCCATAACCTACTGTCCTTATACGGGTTTTAAGATTTGACACCGTCTTTCTACCTATAGAAAATTGACTATTATCAACATGGATGTTTTACTACTGTATTATGAGTTTTGCTCATTTGGAAGCTACTTCAGAAATCATCAAAAATACGTTTTACTGTTCTATTGTCTATTTTTCTTTGTAATTTTATGATTTCTAGCGTAATAAAGGAAGGATTTTGAGTTGAGTTCTGGGAAATTATCCATTATGTTGACGGTTATTCAGTGGAGTACAACGAAGATTGTAAATTTAGTTCATTGAATATTGGCTAGTGGACTTATTTTTATGTTTATTACAGCTGCAAATTTTAGCGTGTAAAGAAGAATTTACATTTTAAAGCTCTTACTTTTTTCACCGTCACTATAGTTTTATAACCATGAAAGTCCCAGAAAATCAGTTTCTAACATTTGACTAAACTTAACTGGCATTGAAGTATATACACTATGTGAAAAAAGTCCACTGTCAATGTAATTTAACTTGTTATATAACATGTTATTTATGGTTAGTCGGTTAGTACAAACAGAGAGACATTAACATACCTAAAAATCCGGTATTTGGTCCTACAAATTGCATAAACAAAGGATGATTAACTGATTCTTCTGTATAATGATGAAATGATAGCCATTTCCCTTCAAAGGTCAACCATTCTATTCCCAGCTGGATACGCGCTTTGGACTTTTGTGTTTATTGGTAGTTAATCACATCCTTCCTTAATTATTGTTGTCTTAAGAATCAGTTTATGGATAATTAACAGAATCACTGAAAAAGTCTTTTTAAGTCTTACAGAATTACAACAAGGCACGTTCTGTCCTAAGTCATGAACATGTTAACAACAAATGTTCAAAATATTCTTGTTTACTACTTACAAACATAGACGTGCTATACTCTAATTCAACAATTGTCTTTCACTTATGTCTGTTCAACAATTTTAGTTTTCTAACATTCTCTAACATTTTTTTTTCTCTCATACAACAAAAAGATGAGAGGAAGAAAACACCCTCTTGTCATTTTTGCTTTTCTTGTACTAGTTTGTGCAAATGTAGCTGCAAAAGGAACGTTTACGCCGGCTGATAACTATCTGATCAATTGTGGATCTCCTGACACTACTTTGCTTGATGATGGGAGGACTTTTAAGTCTGATTCCCAATCTGCTTCTTACTTGTCTACTGATGAGACTATTTTAGCTTCTGTTAAGTCTTTATCAGAAAAGGTCACTTCTTTTTCCTCTGCCTCTTTGTTATATCATACAGCAAGAATATTTGAAAGTGAGTCTATGTATAGGTTTCTTGTTTTCAAACCAGGCAGACATTGGGTGCGTTTGTACTTTTATCCTATTCAACATCCGAATTATAATCTAGCGAGTGCTATGTTTACTGTTACTTGTGATAATATTGTTTTACTTCATGATTTCTCAGTGAAAGATGCTAGTAAAGTTGTGTTCAAAGAATACCTTCTTAATATTACTTCATCTCAATTTACCCTCAAATTTTCACCTTTGAAGAGATCTTTTGCTTTTATCAATGCCATTGAGTTTGTCTCAGCACCAGATGATCTCATTCCTGATTCAGCTGCTGCAGTTTCCCCTGTTGGTGATTTTAATGGTCTGTCTCAGTTTGCGTTTGAAGTAAGTTATCGCTTAAATGTTGGAGGGCCAATTGTCACACCTAAAAATGATACATTGTGGAGGACATGGTTGCCTGATAACAAGTACATGGCATTTCCTGAAGGGGCTCAGAATGTGTCAGTTCCTCTAACGACAATAGTATATCCAGATGGAGGGGCGACACCTTTGATTGCCCCGAGTTCAGTTTATGCCACGGCTGATATGATGGCAGATTCTGGCATTCCCAACTCGAATTTCAAGCTAACGTGGGAGATGGACGTTGATTCGAGCTTTTCCTACTTTATCAGGATGCATTTCTGTGATATTGTGAGCAAAGGCCTAAATGAGTTGTACTTCAATGTCTATGTTAATGAGGTGATGGGGGTCTCTAGTCTTGACCTTTCAACACTGACTTCAGAGTTGGCCACCCCTTATTACAAAGACTTTGTGCTCAATGCCACAGCCATCACCAATGGCTCCATCATTGTGCAGGTGGGACCCGCGTCAAACGTCCAGTCTATCCTCCCAAATGCCATCCTCAATGGATTGGAGGTCATGAAGATGAGCAACATGGCGGGAAGCTTGGATGGGCTGTTCTCCTCTGGTGGACGGCATGGTGTAATGCCAAGATCACGCGGAATGAGAATTGCTGCAGCTTTTGGATTGGCAATGGGGATTACAGCATTAGTATTGCTTTTGATGGGCATTGTTCGTTGGCGAAGGAAGCCAACAAAGGGTTGGGAGAAGCAGAAGACATTCTCTTCATGGCTTCCTCTCAATGCTAGTTACTGCAGCTTCATGTCAAGCAAGAGCAAGACTAGTTGTTCAACAATCATATCCTCTGGCCTCAACTTTGGCCGTGTCTTTACTTTCAATGAAATCAAGAAAACAACAAAAAACTTTGATGAAAAAGCAGTCATTGGTGTTGGAGGCTTTGGAAAAGTGTATCTTGGTGTATCGGAAGATGGAACAAAACTAGCTATAAAGCGAGGAAATCCATCATCCTCACAGGGCATCAACGAATTCCTGACAGAAATTGAGTTGCTATCCAAGCTTAGGCATCGACATCTTGTTTCACTCATTGGTTATTGTGATGAACAATCAGAAATGATTCTAGTCTATGAGTACATGTCTAATGGTCCTTTGCGTGACCATATTTATGGTTCCAGTTTGCCAACTCTGACATGGAAACAAAGGCTTGAAATCTGCATAGGAGCTGCTCGAGGACTGCACTACCTTCACACTGGTTCAACTCAGGGAATAATACATCGCGATATAAAAACTACAAACATCCTCCTTGATGAGGACTTTGTGGCAAAGATGGCTGATTTTGGCTTGTCAAAAACCGGTCCTTCACTGGAGCAAACACATGTTAGCACAGCAGTGAAGGGTAGTTTTGGTTACCTTGATCCAGAGTACTTCAGAAGACAACAACTAACAGAAAAATCTGATGTGTACTCGTTTGGGGTAGTCCTTTTTGAGGTACTATGTGCAAGGCCTGCACTTGATCCTGCGTTGCCAAGAGAACAAGTGAATTTAGCAGAATGGGCAATGCAGCAACACAAAAAGGGCTCTCTGGAGAAGATCATAGACCCTCATCTTGCAGGAACCATCAGCCCTGAGGCGTTAAGGAAATACGTGGAAGCTGCAGAGAAATGCTTGGCAGAATATGGGGTTGATAGGCCTACAATGGGAGATGTTTTGTGGAACTTAGAATATGCCTTGCAGCTTGAAAGTGCAACACCGAGTAGTGTTCCAGTGAAGAATGAGAATGAGAATGAAAATTCCAAGCCAAGTTCTTCAGAACAGCCTGGAACGAATTCGAAAGGCCATAAAGAAGCTCAGCTCATTGACATTAATGATGATTCTGGAGTGGTTGTTGGTTCTCCTATGTTCTTAGAAGGTTTTCAAGGAAGATAATAACTGAAATAAGTAACTAAAACCAAAGATGATCAGCCTTTTTGTTTTTTGATTTTTTCTGTTTTCATGTTTTTTACTCTACTTTTTCAAGCAATATTGGGTTATCATTTCCTGTTTAGTTCATATAACTGGAGACATGCCAGAACTTTGTCTGTATCCAAGGATATAATTAACTTTCCCCTTGTAGTTGTATTTTACTGATTTATCTGTTAATTTTTCAAAATGTAATTATGCTCTCTTATACCATTTGGAAAAGCCAATAAACTTGTAAAATGGCGAAATATATGTTTTCTTTTTAATGACAAGCGAAATCCGCAGCCATTGCCATTTGATTGAGCACAGGATAAATAGCTTGCTAAATATATGTTATGAATTCACATTTGTCAAGAAATACGAGTTTTCTTGTTGGGGGTGTCACCACGATGAGTACATTAGCTTCTACTCAGAAAAATGTAAATGGAAATAGGACAAGTTGTGATACGTTTCACAAGACAACTTTTGAAACAGACTAAAAAGGAACATAGGTGTATTATGGGTTAAAAGTATATCTTATCAAACGATTCTAATTGAAAGGAAACACTATAACAACTGAATGTCAAAATCTCTAAAATTAGTAGGAATAAGAGAGCTGCGGTCTCTTATACTGAGAGAGAATATCACATCTGGCAAAAGCCTGAACTATAGAAACATGAACACAAATTTAAAGTATAGGTAAGGAACATTATAAACCTATTAACATTGATATGTACAACAAAGTTTCACATTTGTCAACAAAATACACAATTACTCCATATATCCTTCTTTCTTTCCAATCATTGTGGCCCCTCTAGCTGCCTAATGAAACCAGCACAGAAATCCAGGAAGAGGAACTGCGGACCACTAATTCTTTGGAGATCAAGCAGATATTTCTCATCCTCAGTTTTGTACAGCTGCAACATTATTTAACCAAATCCATATTAGCAAGATTTGAATGGGCTCCTACTAGTAGAATCAACGGTATTCTGTATTTAACTGGATTTTTTTTTTAGCGCAAGTCAAACAACCGATGAATTTGAGTACCAGAAGCTAGAATTGTTGTCCAAAATCATGCCACAGTTAGCAAACAACCACTATGTTGAAAGAAAAGATGATGGGAAAAAAGATAACTGTACCTGCATTTCAAACTTCACAGTAGGTAGTGGCTGTAAATGTGTACTTATGGCAGTTGCATTACTAATAAAATGATCATCATCATTCATATGATTGCTGGCCATACTATGAAGATGAAGATCATGACACCATAAACACTTCATATTATAGTGCCCAATTTTTTTCCATCGAACATTTAGTTCTAGCAGGGTCCCAAGAACCTGATTCATGATCTCCTTTGGATTTGCTGGAGACTGAAAAAGTAATCAACGTGAAATGAGGAAATTCACACAATATTTTTGATACATATACTGCAAAAAAACTAACCTGAAGTCCAACTAGCCACGTTTTCTCTTTGCGAAATGGGCGTCTCAAACTCTCTTCAGAAACTCCGTTCCCACTAGACAGCTGTAGGTCAAGATTTGGAAACAATCCAGAGGAATAACCATCCTGAAGAAACACGTGAATGTAAATAACAAGGACCATCTATTCAGTGTGGAACACTAGAGGCTATAGTAAACATTATCTGACATTTGAAGAAGCATAACTCTAAAACTAAGGGAAGGGTACAGAAGTTACAAAAGTAATATTGTTTAATGCCTGAACCCAACCACCAGTGTTTCAAAGTTGTAGTAAGAGCGGCAATGGGAACCATAGTAGTGTATCTTGAATTTACTCATGTATAGAAAACAATGACTCTTGACATGCTTTGCAGATTTTCACCTTCATATTATAGAAAGACGACAGATTCAATCAAAGCAAATATCAGGGAAACTGCTACCACTCCAAACACCAAATACAAAAATTCCCACTTCTGAGTTAACAAGACTATGTATAGATTCTGATACTATCAGTAAGAAGTTCAGAGATAATATAGAAATTACAAGGAAAATAAGTAGAATAAAGTTGGTGAACTACAGATCATAGTAGCATCTCTTCTTTCTTATTTTTGCAAAACGAAGAGCAGCATATATGTAGGAGTAGTATCTTCATTGTGATGGGATTTCACAAATTATAATTTTCCTATCCGACTCTTGACAATCCCAGAACAGAATGAACGGTCTGCAGTTAACATATTCTTTTTTGACAGAATGGTAGTAAATGTAACCCCAAAAGTTTATGCATTGAGAAGAAATGAATGAAGTAAAAATAAGAGAGGGCATACCACAGATTCCTGAAACTCAGCTCCTAGATACCCACTGGAAGCCATGGAACGGTTATCGTACAGCAGATAGTATGCAACAGTAGCCTGAAACAGACACATAAAGGTATAAAGCAAACTGAAGTAATTAAAAGGTCTACCAATTACCACACCTCATCCCTTTGCAATCAATTTCTAATGTAGAAATGTAAAACACAAATATATCTACAATTGCTAGATTCTTTCCCTTTTTCAGTACCATATTATTAGCCATATACAATAGAGAAAACCCAAAAGAAAAGAAAAGTAGTTACAACAAGAAACAGAGTGCCGCTAGTGTTGTAAGAAGCAACGTACATCATCTTGTATTCTCTTTTGTAAAGAATCAAGCAACTGGTCCCTATCAAGCCCCATCCTAGTTACTTGCTGGAGAATTTCCTCATCAAGCTGCAGCACAGCTTATAGTTACAGCAAGAATGAGTAAATAGAAAGAATTGCATGCCACATTATTTAACAAATAGACAGTCATATACACGAGGAACAATATATATGGGATATATATGACAACTTTTTGACATCTCCAGACAAATGAGATCCTCCGCAATGGCAGCAAGAAACAGAAGAATTCCCTGATCTTGTAAGAGGAAGTGAAGATTGAAAAGAGATAACAGTATTTTGATGTTCTTTGGAAGTGGACTTCATGATTTTTATGTAAACTTGAATTAATACAAGAGTAACAAATGGAGAAACCACAAGAGCTGGTTCCCAGTTTGAGTTTCCAGATATAAAGCAGCATATCTTGTAGGATTTAAAGGTAGCAGTGAACAGAAAGGGGTTTAGCCAATAGGAACACTTTCAGCATCATACAAGATACCTTTGTTATTAGCATAATAATGTTACAGTTACCTTTTTAAGATGTTGCCTAGCATCAGGTGGAGGAACTGCCAAATACCGAGGAAGATGAATTTTGAACCACTGGTGTTGACGAATATCAGCTACCGATATGCGCTTCATAGGATCAACAATCAGCATCCTTGGTATCAAATCCCTAGCTAAAGGTGACAGGTGACTTGGAAGGGTGTAGACTCCACTCTGAATGACACATGGTCAACCATGTAAACACCACTACATCAAACTATAAAAAATTGGAGAATCCAGGGAAACCAGACAGAATAATAGATCAATGGATGTACCTTTATTTTCTTGAAAAGGTTGGGAATGTTCTCATCATCGAAAGGAAGTGTACCACAAAGAAGAGCATATAAGATTACGCCACAACTCCAAACATCTACCTCAGGACCAGCATATAGTTTCCCAGATACAACCTGCAAATAAATGTTGTCGATTGACCTTCAGGAATCCAGCTCAAAAAGAGATATGGTCATCTTAATGATTACAAACTCTATGGTTTTCCACCTCAGGAGCTGCATAATTTGGACTTCCACAACTAGTCTTCAGAAAATGGCCATCTCGCATAATGTTTCCCAAGCCAAAATCTGCTATCTTTACATTGCGTCTTGCATCCAAAAGCAGATTCTCAGGCTTAAGGTCCCGATGAACCACCATATTCCTATGGCAGTACTCCACACCAGCAATAATCTGTCCCCAGTGAAACAACCAAGCAATAACAATTTGAGCGACAAAGAAAAAACTGCTTTAATCTCGTAAGACCTAAAATCACAGTTCAGACTGTCATTTGCACTATCAAAAGACCAAGAGAATAAATTTAACTCTACCTGCTGAAAAAATTTCCGAGCTTCATCTTCCTGTAACCTTCCTTTTTCTACAATATAATCAAAGAGCTCCCCAGACTTGACATACTCCATTACAACATATATATCTGTTGGCGTCTCTATCACTTCATAGAGTCGTATGACATGTGGATGCACAAATAATCTACATATTTTTATTTCTCTCCTCACTGCACAGAGATAAAGTATATTTAGATGTTCCATGGATAACCATCTAAATTCTCAAAGGAACAAACCAAGATGTGCTTCAAATGAACTTGTTTTAAACTTCACAAAAATATATCAAGGCGGAAAGAGAAAAAAAAAACAGAATTTTGTTGTTAACTTAATGATACCCAGGTATGAGATTCATACGTTTTTCTTCCATGTCTGGAGTCTTCATTTTCCGCCGATTAAGGATTTTGATCGCCACTTTATGCCCAGTGAGCAAATGCTCAGCAATTTTAACTTTACCAAAGGATCCATGTCCAAGAGTTTTTCCAACCCTGTAGTTCCTTAAATAAGGAGATTCAGCAATTCCACCACCTCTGGAACTCATTTGCTAATATAGAACACCTGATTCACACCTCTAGCAATTTAGTCAAAACAGTTGACATACCTTAGCTAATTCATCTTAAACCACACGATAAATCCATTCTCTAGTCACACAGATGATTAACTAAAGTTCACAACTTTAATCCTCAAATTACAAAAATTAGGTCAATTTGAGCATCAAATGAAAACAGAATCTTAATCCGATCCCAGAAACTTCGCTGCTATACGAGCTATCAAATTGAAGATTCCGCAATCAATGATCAAACAAAACTATTGAAAACCAGATCAAAGTTTCAACTCAAAAACTGTAATAGCTAATTCAAAACACGATTTTGCTCAACTATTCACAAAAAAAATAGGAATTTTGCAAGTTTTTTAACACAGAAAAAAGTAGCAGAAATTGAAGTACCTGTAGAAAGTTATGAACTGAATTTGTTAAGAGGCACACATGAGCGGATTAATCTCGGGAAAGAGAAGGAGAAAAAGAAGGCGGAGAATTTTATAGAAAGTGATTGGGAGCTTTGTAGTTCTTCGGCATAGAATCTGACTCAGCACTACGGCATCGGGATATGGACAAACTTGTACATTACATCTCTTCCACTATTTATCGATAACGACAAAATTTAGCCCAATTCATTACTCAGGCCCATTACAAAGGTTGTTCTACATCTCATTGTTTTGGGCCTAATTCATCTAATACGTTTAGACCACGTGTTGTTTCATAATGTATTTAATGAATATACTGTTCTTCTTCCTGACATAATGTCACATGTTTATGATTTGAATAATAAATCTACAGGCTAAAGTAGGTTACGGGGTAGAACGATAAAATATGAAATATAATTATTAAATAATAAATAAAAATAAAATGAGGAAAAAATATTAAGGCAGCGACGCGATCACACCGAATTGGCGGTTTTGTAAAATGGGTTTTTTCATCATTAACTAACAATGAATTTAAACGATACGATTTTGTAAAATTTAAGCTACAATCAAAATAAATATTATATTTAAACAATACAAATACAAATACAATACAATACGACGGGTAACAACCATCCAAACAAGGTGTATGTTCATAATTTGCAAAGGTCTTTAATTTTTGTTCCATAACACTTAAAAGAACGAAAAAACTACAAACAAATCCATAAGTCACAAGTTATGTCTTATAGAATTATGGCATGAAAGAGAAACATAATACATAAGTTTAGTTTCAGAACATTACGCCTTAAGAACTTCATAACTCATAAATTATATCTAATAATAAAAATCGCAAAGACGTAAGTTTAGTTTTTGAGAGCCCACGAAAAAGATAAATGACATGGCCTTCTACTTCTAAAAGGAGAGAGACTCATATAACAACTGAAGTATATACGGCCCAGATCCAACTCTTTGGATGGGCCCAAGTCTTAGTTGTAGTCTGTAACGACTAGGAAGGTTTACGCAAATAAGAGACTCAGCCAAAATTTTGGTAGACAAATCTTGATAATCATTAAGATTACATGCCTTGTCATAAAATTGTCATCATTTTTATATAAGATATAAAAAATAGTAAAGTAAAGGATCATAAGAATGAATATTGGCGATAAATTTTGACGTTTTTTAAATTGGTGGTTGACTTGTCTTATTATATATTCTAACATATGACTAGGATTACTAGAATTTTGATAACTATCTGGATAAATCATCAGAGTAAGCTCCAAAATCGTAATCATCATGACTTTTGTTTGGTAGGAATTTCACCAGCACGTTTCGCTTCAAAATTAACAAAAAATCAATTCTAATGAATCAATCATTTTCGATAGTTAAAATTCTATCTCAACCTTTAAAAATTAATAGATTAACTTTTCATTTTAACAAGTTTTTCAAAGTTCAACAATAATATTCTTCAACTTAACTTTCACCTGTCAAACTATCCAAATCGTTAAGAATTGAAGATATAAATTTAAGAAAAGATTACATATATCCAATTTCAACTATAAATAAACAATTTTTAAAAACTATATTTTTAGTATAACATTAAAAGAGATGGAGAAGGAGGAAGGATGAGATGAAGAATGATGGAGAAGAGAGATGGAAAAGAAATTACGATAAGTTAGATTTTTCTCATAATCATTCGATTAATAATTATTATATTAAAATAATAACCTTTAAGATATCATATCTATTTGAGTAAGCCTGTTAAGACATGATTGAGTGGTTAAGAGGTGGATTATACCTGAAATCGAAGCCAGCCTCCAATTGCAATTTATTCATGAGATCGTTAAATGAAAATTGTCTAGTACAATTTACGAATTATCAGACAATGAACATATTACCATAAAATATTCACCCAAAGAACAGAGTCTATGATGTATCCGCTTCAACTAATTTCAAGCAATCATAGAGGATGGGACGTCCTTTTATAAGTTGCTGTTTGGATATCACAACCAAGATTGTTCATTCATATTAAAATGCACACAGTTTTCACAATCCAAATTATGTGGCATAAACATTATTGAAATGACAAAAAAAGGACGATGCTAACCTGTCTTATTCTCTTAATACAGACAATATAACTTTCTATTAATGTCCATCTAAAAATTAATATAATGTGCTCATAATCCAAATCCTAAATTTTTTTATTGATCAATCAAATAATTGGCGGCCTACATATTTTTTTATTTTTATTAGATAAAATAAGGTGGAATACTTAATTACACCTACACAGTCTACCTTGTTATGATATAAAAAGTCACTGTATATCTTTGTTCCTTTTACATATATAATTTATTTATTTTACTTGTCAATTTTAATAAATAAAAATACAATTAATTTTTCTTTCTATTTTACCTTTATGGTTATGTAATCATTTTAAAAATAATTATAATACTTGTAATCAAACTTATATTTTCGGGTATTATCAATTTTTAATAAAATAAATACTTAAACCAATAATTTTTTTAAGGGGGGTGTAAATTGTAAAATGGACCATGAACATATAATAATTGAATTTCTTAAATTTTATCTTATCTCAAACAGATAATGATCATATTAATTACACTAATAAGATGCTTTCGAATTGTGAAATCATTTAATGTATAACCCCCGATAATCCACCCAACTTATTTTTAAATTAAATTAAAGAAGCAAAGAGTATAGTATTATGAACTATCATTGGAATATTTTGACATTTTGCTACTTTTTATCATATTCAAAAACATCAAGTAGACTTCATATTCAAATCGAATAAAAAACCACAAATATATTTAGTGTATGAGAAATGATTTGTATCACTATAATAAAAATAATTTTTAATAATAAAATAAATATATATATATATATATATATATATATATTAATAAAGAGTGTTAAATTTTTTATCGATATTAGTTAAGTATTGTCATTAGATTCAATGTCACTAAAGACTGTAGAGACATATCTAAAGAGTAATTGTTATTAAAATATATTTAATTATAATAAATCTATAATTATTATTAGTTAATTATCGTTAAAAATTAATTTTAATATAGTATAAATATGTTATATGTATTTATTGATCTAAAAATATTTTAAATTTTTTTTTGGGCTTAAAAGAATATCCCGAACTAACACCCCCTTTCAAATTCAAACCTGCTTAAATTGAATAATATAAATCATAATAAGCCACATGACTTTTTTTAATTGAAAAAAACTCATTAGATTTAAAGTGTTATTTGTGGGGTATTTTTGAGCTAAAAATAGGTCTGTTTTAAGCTAATAGATACATAGATATTTTTGAGCCTTGTATTTTTTTTGATACTTTTTTCGAATTCAAATATTTCCTTCGTCTTTATTTATTTGACACTTTTTTTTTTACAATTTAAGATTCGGGCTACATATGTAAATTTGGACAAAGAATTTAAAAGGTAGACATAAGAGAAAATCATAATTGATAGGATTTTCTTTTGTAACTTTTAATATCTAAATATTAATTCTAAAACATTGAGTTGATATAATTCAATTTAGCTTTAAAATCAATTGAATTAACTCTTACGCAATAAAAATATATCACACAAAATTAAAGTAGAGGAAGTACAATTGTTAGTTTATTTTTTTCTTTCTTCAAGTTTGAGTGGCTAAGTATTTTTCTTGCTAACCTTTTCGTATAAACACAAACTTGATCATTGCATCACTCCATGTGTCTCCCATCAGTTATTAATTAACCTCCATTAATTAGTCTAATCCCGTACTTACTCAAAAAATAACCACTTAAGCTTAATTTGTTTGTTAGAATAATTAAGGAAAAAAGTTAAGAAATATATCTGAATTATGGTCGTAATTTGTATAACGATATTAAACTATGAAAAAGACCTTTTACCCCATGCACTATTTAATAGTGTATTTTAAATGAATATATATGTCTACGTGGACATCATAAATATTGCATAATTATAAATAGTAACTGTCCACGTGACACATATATACCTTTAAAATATATTATTAAATAGTGTAAAAGTAAAAAGTCCTCCAGAATATTTAATACCGCTACAATAATTTTGACAATAATTAAAATATTTTTAGACCTTTCTTTTCAATAATTAATAAATTAATAAAAATAAAGTTTAGAAGTCGTATATATTCAATTTTTACTTTTATATAAATAATTCAAAATGCATATACACAAAAATAAAATCATCGTACATTTTAAATAACTCGATTATCAAACTCTACTTAAAGAAATTAAAATAAATAGGTAAAAATGCGATGCATGGCTGCATGCAGTAGACAAGAAATATTTAAATAAGTTGGTCTATAAGTTAGAATATCACCATCCTGAAAATAATATAAAGGTTAAATTAGTTTTACAAAAGAATTAATTAATTGAGTTGACTACACACCATTAAGAGTACAACATGTACTAGTGCTACCAAATCTGAACCTTCCAAAGCTGATAAGTGGATTAAGAACCACTAATTATGTTAGTTAGCACTTACTAATACACGGATTAGTTAACATGCAATATAAATTGATTAAAATATGAACTAATAATATAGGAGTGAGTAAGACTAATTATTATTATTGTAAGTTAGGAGAAAAATCATAAGTATAGTGACTGAATACTTATATATATTCCTTCCAACCTAAACAACAAGGATGAGATATCGATTATGGACCCTCAACTAATTAATCAATCTTATAATTAATCAACTTACCTTTCAAGTATCTTAATTAGTTTAGATGACTTTGCACCAACTTCATAATGATGATACCTTATTTTAAATCATCATTTAAATTCAATTTTTTCTTTCCTTCGCTTCAGCCCCAATCAACTTCTCTATATATATTTATATTCGGGAAAATGATCTGAGAAATACTTTTAACTTTGATCGAAATTGTTATTCTGATATCAAACTTTATGAAAGACCTTTTACCTTCTGAACTGTTTAATAGTGTTATTTAAAAGTATATATGTGTCCACGTGGACACATTACTATTAATAATTATGCAAAAATTTATTTTCACGTGGACACATTACTATTTATAATTATGCAAAAATTTATTTCCACGTGGACACATATATACATTTAAATATACACTACTAAATAGTACAGAGGTAAAAGGTCCTTTTCAAAGTTTAGTATCGTAACGATAATTTCGATCAAAATTTGAATATATATTAGATTTTTTTCCCTTTATTTTCGATACCAATATGATAATAAATTAATAATTTCAATAGCAAAGTCAAAAATTTACCAATTTAAAAATTTACTAAATATCACATTTCGTAGAATAATATGCATGCACGTGGTGAATTTAATCCTTTCTTACAGTACTTGCTAGGTAAAAGATTCCATAAACTTATTATTGGAAGTTTTGGGCAAATCAAGTATGATGAAATGTTTAATCGTAGGATTAGGACAATAGATTTGAGGGTTACGGTATTAATTAAGAATCCCTCCAAGAATAAGTGGAATTATTGATGAGGTAGTTAGAACTTGGCCATACATATAATACATATATATAGTAGGTCACAAGTAGGGGTAGCGTATCGGTTGGTTCGATTCGGTTTTGAAGTTTATCGAGTTGGTTTATTGGTTGTCGGTTTGTAAAGATGCTAAACTGTTATAGAACCATTAAGATATTGACTTATCAGTTATTGGTTTTATCGGTTTTTGATCGTTATCGATTCGGTTATCGCTTTAACCATTAAGATTTGACACAAAAGAAAAAACATTAAAAATCACTTAGAAACAAGGTGATAAACCAAATACACCATGCAGTTGAGTTCACAAGTTACATCTTGCTCAAAAGCAAACACTTTTAAAAGTTACATCTTGCTCAAAAGCAAACACTTGATTGTAGAATAATCAAGTGTTTGAGACAATCGAAAATAAAAGTAGGAAATTAAACTCCTTGTCGGGGATTTTATAGACAAAATGGTATAAATAAAATTATTTAATTTACTATCGGGTTATCGGTTAACCCATTAAGAAAACACATTCAAACCGTTAAGAACCAATAATCCGATAACTAAAAAAAATCAAAAACGTTATAAAACTACTAAACCAATAACCCAATACTATAAACTAATAATTTTTTTATCAGTTCGACTTATCGATTTCTGTTCGGTTTTGAACAGCCCTAGTCACGAGGCTTATTTTTAGGTGATTATTAGTTCTATTTATTTTATCGAGCATTTTGATGGAATAAATAACATTTAATCTTATCCTTAATTAGAAGTCTCGAATACACTTGAACTTACCTTTCTCTTAAATGACTCTAATATGAATATCCGATACGAGATGAAAAAAAAATTCTAATATTTATAAACAATTTCTTGTAATTATCTTCTAGTGATATAAAAAAAAGTCGAAAGCAAACAATTATGTAGTTGAGGAAAATGCCAAAAAGCCATGGTCAGCAAAAACATCATAAGAAGATGAACATTGAGCCTATGTTTGACAAAGAAAAGCACACATAATACATTTGTCTATTTTGACAAAACTAATTGTGTACACCGCTTGGTTTGGAACTTCTTTTCATTTCTTCTATGTTCGTTCACTCCAAGAAATAAACACAACTTTCATCTCACGAAAATTTTGTTGGGAGCGCTACCTCTGAATGAATTTTAAAATGCATAATTCAAATTTAATCAGCGCTCTAATATTAATTTCAGATATCCGATAGAAAAAAAAAGACTAAGTAAAGAGTGATTAAGCTAACGATGACAACCAAAAGCTACTAAGACAAATTGCTAATTTGCCCTTTTTTGCAAATCCAAGATGAGAATAGTGACTTTGCCAGCTACCCTGCTTATGTCACCACTCATCCAGTATCATCGTTAAATCGATTCATTTTAAACTTTACACGTCTCTTACTAAATAATAATTAATATAAAAGTATATAGCTTTACATTTTAGAAAATGATTAAAGGTTCACATAATAATATAATTATGCCTTTTCATAAATAGTGTGTAAATTTTTTTTATTTTAATGTATAATATGAAACGGAAATAATATTGACAAAAACTAGTGCTAATTTTCTTATTTCTCCCAATTTGATTAGTATTTGTAAATCAAATCAGTATCAATATCATAATTTGTCGTTGTTTATGATACGAAAGTTTAACCAATTTTAAATACATGACTAAAATAAATTTAAAATAAAGTATGCTATTAATAACCTTTCTCACTAATTAAATCAGCTTATATGAACAAAAGGAAAAAACTTTTAAATTAAAGTGTTTTTTCTTTTTAATTTATAAGGGATCCAACTCAATTTTTTCCTCTTTGGCACAATCCCACTTTTATGATATTGTTTTCCAAATTAGAATAAAAGAGAACACTAATATTAACTAAACATTAAGAAAGGAAGAAAATATTAAATGTTCCACTTTACTTATTTCCAATGCTATGATATGGATATGTGACCACAAGTGTTGTGTAAGATAAAATAATTCTAAATTAAACAATTGATATTCCAACACATTGAAGTAAATTCCAAGAAAACCAAAAAGAAATTTTCTCTTTTCCATCACCAAGCAAGACATGAAAAAAGCCTACTTATATATAGCAAATGTTCTCAATTGTTAATTAATTAAATGTTTTCACATTATTAAAAAAAAGAGCAACCCCCTCCAAAAGTACAATATATTTTCCTAAATTTCTGTTGAATTTAATAAGCTTAAAAATTAAAATTGCTAAAAATATATTTAAAGACTTATTTTGAATCTATCCGCAAACATAAGAGACCATTTTTTTGTGTCATTTTCTTATCACATTTAGTGGATTTTTTACAAGATCCAACTAGAGTTGCACTTCTTCTGATAATCGTAGCAAAATACGATGATTTTTATGTAATAATAAATTAATATAAATCTAAAGATTTAAAGGTTTCATTAATGCCACTGGACCAAAAGTCTACTTTATTATTGAGTTCCAACAAATATTTCTTATATTTTTGAATTATATCCCTCGATATAAACACACAGTCACAAAAGACTTTTCAAATATTTAAAAACTATACGAAAAGTATTATAAATTATAATTTTTTGTATATCAATATGACAAAAAAATATATCGTAAAATATTAGTAATAAGTTCTTATAGTTTGACTCTAAAAATAAAAATCATGACAATTAAAAGTGGACGGAGGGAGTAATAATCTCAAACATGAATCGTCAACCATAGTGCTGATTAGGAGTGTGCACTATTTGGATTAAATCGAAAAATCAAACCGAAATCTTGGATTGATTTTTTGAATTTTTGATTTGATTTTGGATCTATAATTTACTTTGTTTTTTTTGGTTGAGTTATTTTAGAAAAATGAAAACCAAAAAATTGAATTTTATATATATATATATATATATATATATATATAATTTTTTAAATTGCAAATTATTTTGTTATGTTTCTAATTATTAACATAACCGATTAACCGAATCGAAAATATTCAAACCAAAAAGAGAAAAATCAAACCAAACCAAATTTATTTTGGTTTGGATCGGGTTACACTTCTTCCAAATCAAAAACCGAAAATCCAAATCGAATGCACACCCCTAGTGCTGATACCCTCCGCCATAAATGATATGTTGATACCCTCTGTCATACTTTTGAGATATTGGTGCTCCTGTTGTCCAAAAGCTAGAGTGTGTATGCCCTTCACTCTAACGGAAGACTAAACAGGGACACGTGACGCAATCTTATCCATCGATTCAATGTCGAATCGTGGATAAGATTATGACACGTGTATGTCCGTTAGTATAAAGGGTATATATGCTCTAGTTTTTGAACGGTAGGAATTCCTATGTCCCAAAAATATAACGAAAGATATCTACATATCATTTATGATAGTTCAAATGTATATTTATCCCTTTTCCCTAAAAAATTTATCTCTAGAAAACGAAAGAAAAAAAAATTCCTTTTACTAACCAAAAATCTTTTTAATTTCTTATACATACTCAAACTCAAAACCTCTAATTAAAAAGATCCATTAATTTCTAAAACCAAAGTTTAAGATAGAGAACCAAACTCCAACAAACTCAACTCTTAAAAAAACAAAGCCAAAACAACTCCCACTGCAAACTCCTCTATTGTTTTTTTTTTTTTGTTAATATTTTTTAAGTTGTTGGCCTATCCATTCCTTCCAAAAGAACAACTCTCCAAACTTTTTTTTTCCAAACTACCATTGAAGATTTAGATTCCTCCATTAAAATAGAAGAGCTAAACATCAATATATATCTTCATTTTCTCAAACCATTTTCACATCCCCAAAAAAATGGAAACTTACTCCTCTGTTCCAATGGAGAAAACAACCAAAATTATAAGAAAATCAATCTTCATTTTCCTTCAGAACTATCAGTTCTTCACAACAACAACAGCTTTTTTCGCTTTTCCATTTGCTGCTTCTGTTCTTTTTCTACAATCATTCATCTATTCGTCATCGCTTTATCCAATAATTTATGAGCGTTTGCATTTACTTTTCGACGCAGCAGGGTTCCCTTCATCGTCAGAATTCTTCATTCTTCTCAATTCCAAGATCTCTCAGACGATTTTGATATCTTTTCTTTCATTCCCTTTTACCATTTCCTTTTATCTTTTCGCCAAATCTGTGGTAATCGAATCTCTGAAATACTCAAAACCATCTCAAAGAACTACATTTCCTTCGTATTTCAACCTTCTTGTCACCCAGCTCTGTAACTCACTACTCATCATTTCCGCAAACGCCACCTGTTTCACTCTCCTATTCTTCGGGTTCAATCTCTTTGATTATGGATTCGGGCTTTCGAATCCAAGAACAATTCTTTTGTTATCAGCAACAGGGGCTGTACTCTGTTCTATTATACTCGCAAACACTTTAATTATTTGTAATTTGGCATTGGTAACATCAGGAAATGAGAGAATTGGAGGATTCATGGCGATTCTCAAATCTTGTGTTTTGATTAGAGGAAGAACAGCAACAGCATTATCACTAGCAGTGCCTGTAAATTTAGCTCTGGCTGCAGTTGAAGCTCTGTTTCAATACAGAATCGTAAACGCGTATTATCAAGAAAAAACAGAGCTTTTTACTCTAGCTTTAGAAGGAATGTTCATCGCCTATATTTATTCACTTCTTATTGTTCTTGATACAATAGCAAGCTGTGTTTTCTACAAAAGCTGTAAAACAGAGGAACATGGGATTTTTCCAGTTTCGTCCATTTCGACATATCAAGATGAAATTCAACACAGAGATCAATGTATAGTTGTGAAGATAAAGACATTAGAGGAGTTCTGTTAAGTTTTTTTTTTCTTCTTATGTTTTCTTGATTTATTTTTCAATTGGATAATAAAAAAAAAATCTGGTCTCCAAATACCAAGCAATTTCTTGGAGCCAGAATTGTATTTTTTTTTTGCTTGTAATCTCTAAATATCCACTGATGTAAAAGCTTTAGAACCTGAAAAGTCACAGCTTTTCTTTATACAGTATAGATGAAATTCTTGTAAACTGTTTATATTTCAATTTGCAATGCAAAGAGAAAAAAAAAACATGAATTTCTGAAATCAAGTTTACAGAGCAGTGACTTATTTTTAACCGATAAAAGTTATCGTCACGTGATCATAAGGTCATGAGTTCAAGTCGAAGAAATAGCTCGTACAAATGTGATGGTTATGTGAGTTCGATTTTCTTTTTGTCCCCTTTCCATGCTTTAACATATATTCTAATGGTTAATAGTATATATTCCACGAATTAAAGTGGGATAAATAGTAACTCACTACATAGAAAATGATCATTAGCAGCAATTAATTCTTAATAGTTGCTAAATGTATATTTTTAGCGGTAATTATTAGTCTTTAACAACATTGATTCTAATTTTAACTAATATCGATAAAACTTTAGTACTCTTTGTTAACGTTAATATTTATTGCCACTAATAATTATTTTTGTTGTAGTGACTCTCCACCCATAATCAAAAGCAGTAGTCATTGTGTATGAGGATTCAGAATGCAAAAAAGAAAAGAAAAAAAGAATAATTATAGAAAGGATTTTTATCTTTAATTGGCTTAATAATGTAAATGAATCGAAAAATTCAAAACAAATATCAAACGTGAAATGAGAAATCAAAAAGGTTTAGGATTGAGGCAGGTGGAAGATGATTGCTTGTCATGTACCTAAAGTTAGAGGAGGTTTCACTTTGCACAACGTAGCAGTCAAGCTAATATTTGTAGTCATATATACAAAATGTAACGTCTATACTGTTTATAAATATATAATACTTTTTTCGTCCACTATTATTTGTTATAATTTCTGTTTTAAGAGTCAAATAATAAGAACTTTGACTAACATTTTAATATATATTTTTTCATCATATCGATATGCAAACAAAAACTACAATTTATATTACTTTTCGTATAGTTTCTGAATATTTTAATTTTTTATTTAAATATCAAATTAATGTAATCTAATTTAACTTCGAAAATTAATCAAATTGACTTTTGAAAAATACGACATGACAAATAAAAGTGGACAGATGAAATATATATTTGCGCTTATTAATTTTAGCCGTGCAAGTTAGTCAAGTATTTTAATTATTTTTGGTTGGGTGGGGGTGAGGTGGTTAAGGTAGGACAACATTGTCTTAACTTTTAAGAGAATAGTATTTAGCAAATTTGATCACGGAAAATCATTAGCTAATGCCAAATAAAGCTTAAAGAAAACACCAAATGTGAAGGGTTGAGAGTTAATAATAATTGGACTTGTTTGTTTATTTCATTTTGGGAGTATTAACAACTTCATTTATTTATTTTTTCCAAATTGGGAGTTGGGGAGTGAGAAAATTCATACAATGTCTTTGGTTAGCCAGACTCATTTATTAATTTAGTTAATAAAGTAACTTCTTTTGTTTTACTAGAAGGCCAAAATTATCACTAGGAATGGGTGACCAATAACATGCAAAGTGTTATAATCAATTGTTTAAAGTTTGAGCTTTGACCATGAAAAATGTTTATAGAAAGTGTTTTATTTGATCGATATAAATTTGAATTATTTGGATTAGTATACTAAGAAGAAAAAAAAACTAGATGATCAATTTTAAAAAAAAGGTTCAAAAAATGTGACCTACGTTGTTATATGTTAATCTTGAGTTGAGTAAGCCAGAGTTCATCATTAATTTTTAAGTTAAACTACCTAAAGAAGAAAAGAGGCTATGGTTTGGTTAGTAATTTATGGGTAAACAAATTACTACCTCTTGAGATGACTAGGTTATGTATAGAGAGGGGGTAGGTCATGTGTGACACCTTAGCTTACGATAAAAATTTTATATCGGTATAAAATAAAACGAGATCACAAGATTGATATATCAGTAAGCAAGTCTTGTGTTGTTGCACTCTGGTACCGCCATATTTTTTAAGGCGTAAGTTTAATTGGATATAAACTTTCATTCTTTTTGTTTCTCAAAAAATGATCTTTAGCGGTAATTAATTAACGACAGTAGCTTAATTATCACTGAATACGTATTTTTAGTGGTAATTGTCACTCTTTTGTTTCTAAAACCTTTAGTGACATTGAATCTAATGACAATTATCTAAAATCGGTAAAGACTTTAATATATTTTATTAATGTGTATATTTATTGCCGTTAAAAAATATTTTTATTATAGCGTGAATTGATTATAATAGGTTAATTGATGGTTGGAATGATTCTCACGTCGAAGAATTAGTGTAAGTGTTGCAATCCTTATAAATTTTATAAAAAAAGTTCCTAATTACAAATTTATGGAGACCCAACCTTGATCTTAAATGCAGTGGACTTATCTAGTCTTGTACTTAAATGAAGGGTCTGCAATTTGATTTATATTATATTTATTGTTATAAGGAATTTTTATTTTTATTTCTCTATTTATTTTTCCACTTCAAATTATCTTTATAATACATTAATTTTTTTTTTATTTGCAAATCTAATTTATCTTTAAATAATTATGTATCTATTAGTTTTAAATAACAATATAGATAATTATGTACCTACAAGTCAGATGACTTTTGAGAGTCATATCTTAACACCATCAATACAGATATCACTCACCATTTGAAAGACACACTTAAATAAAAAGAAAAATTTTATTTTCTATCTACTTCTCTTGTCTCCTTCCCTTTATGATTATATTATTCTGAGCTTAACTTTATAACAATAATAAATTTCTGTTTGATTTTTTAAAGATTAACTTGCAAAGAAAAAACTATTTTACATGGAGAAAGTAAATGCTATATTATTCATTCACGGTGAAGCTTTGATCTAGTAATTAATAAGATATGGTTTTCTTGTTATAAACTAAAAACACATTTGACTAAAGTTGGATTAATAATAACAAATCAAATTACATAAATCTAATAATAATATTTGGTCAATTTTCCAAAATATACTTATATCGATTTTTTTTATTTTGGTCAAGAGTACTTAAGAAAAACAATGACTCGTAATACTACTAACTCTACCTTTGATTCTCATTTAACTTTGTCTTGATTTTCATTTTTATTGTGTTGCTGATTCACCTAGAAAAAGTATTCATCTTATTGATGATTTGCCTAATCTTACTACAGTTGTGTCATTTAGATGTGAATTAGGTAAACTCCCTGAAGTTGATGTAACTTTTGTACGTAAATATGAAGAATTATGGTACAACTAATGAATATTATAAATGTTTAACTTTATGGTATAATTCAACAGCCAATTTCACTGCATATGATCCAAATGAAGACAAAGGTCGTCTCTTTGAATCAAAGGGCAAAGAATTCTTTGTTTTTTGGCTGTTTGTTATGTTTTTACTTTTATTTATGTTTTTTATGCATTTGAATTTTTATTTACTTTTCGTTATTGTCCTAAATTGTTGTTCCAAGGACATAAAATAAATTATTGTTTTTTAAAGTCGAAACAAACAATATCACTAGTGGCGAAGCGATACGCTTCTTATTTAGTTAAAGATTAAATTAGTTAAACAACATTTAAGGAATTTTTTCCTTTGGATAAGAGAGTTGTTAATCATTCTTTGCTTTGTTTGAAACCATACATATATACATAATACATGAGAAAGTGACTTTCTCCCAAACTTTTAAAGTGGCAATTTAACTGAAATCCTTTTTTTGCACGTGTGCTCAACTTTCTACGATTATTACATTTTATATAAATATTAAGAAATCATAAATAAGATAACTTTTATTTCATGACCTTCTTTAAGGAAGCAGCACCAACAATTTTTGTATCTCTTGAAAATGTTACAACAAGTTCAGTAATTTTAGTGATACGAAAAAAACAATTTTATGTCAATCCTGCATTTGACAAATTCAATAACAACAAATTGTCAAGAAAGCTTGTGTGACTAAAAAAAATGAAGATATCAGAATATTTTCCAAAATTTGTATTTAGGAAAAGGGAAACTAACCCTAAAGCCTACATATTGATACAATATTATTTGCTAATAGAAACTATCCCTATTCTCTCCTATGATTTCTGTACAATCAATTTCGTGGCAGGTTCCCATAAAAACTGACACAATAGGAAACCCCTATTTCTATGTTACAATGAAAAGAATAACTTTGAATCTAGATATACTGGTTAGGCTTTATACAAACTGATGTTACACTTCTAATTTACAGTTGCATGGCGGTTAGGGCGATCATTGGCAAACACTGGACATTGTGGCAACACCGAGTCCAGCATGTTGGCTCTATCCAAACTCGCGGTCTTGATTGCAGCAGCTATTTCATAATGTAGCAAATTTCTCCAGGTTGGAAGCATTCATGATCACTTACCAATAACAAAAAATCAAGTCGATCTTTATGGAGTGAGAGGTTGCTTGCATCATCCAAGAGCCCCGACAATGATGTCTCCGGTTCAGCTTCCTATCTGCAAATCAGTCACTGCACTCTGGTTTACAAGCCTCAACATTCTTTCTTGAATCCAAAGAATGCCAAAGCACTTACACTAGGAGCCTTTTGGTCTGTCTTTGGCAGATATCTTCGGTTAACATGGTCAACCAACAGACAGATCGTTCACCCTGAAACAATGATATCATTCCCGATTCACTTGAAACCCTTCTTATTGAGATTAACTCCTTTGGCGTTCTCTATTTCTTCCTTTTGAACTTTCTTCCTTTCTAATTCAGCCTGCTTCAAGTTCTCTTCGTGGGCTTTGCGGAACAGCCTTACAAAATTTAAGAGGGTCGCCGTGACTGTACAGTGTTGAACAGATGCACAAAAAACAAACAGATCCATCAGATGCAACTCCAATTGAAGTAAAATCCAGAGATATGTAGACGTACTTAAGTAATCATTCCACGTAGCCAAAACAAAAGGTGGATCATGCTTCATTCATGTACAGAGAACAGTTCTTCTTAAGAGACTTGTTTCTCTCTGGACAGTAAGCTCACAGTGGTTTCAAGGAGACAAGTGTTTGAAACTGATACTTGTTGGAAAGTACTAGATGGCAAAGACAGAAGGAAAATATAGAATTGTCATAAAGAACAAAATAAACACTTCACACAAAACGACAGCTTAAGCTCTATCTTATGTTACTATATCCTCAGACACTGGAAACCTTGATGAGGAAGACTCTCAGATGTATCCCAGATCAATTAAATCTCGTAAAATTAGCATACTGATTAACAACTCCAACTCTAACAAAGAGCTTAAAAAAAATGCAGTCATATCGTTCCATAAAATTGTGGAGCAGTTACTATGTCTAAGAGGATCAACTTTAGGCAAACTTCAACACACCTATTCACATTTTGTAGTTAGAATTGAAAATGACTAGGTCATTGAAGACAACAGAGCATAGTTCAAAACTCTTGAAGGAGGCAACTTTCATCTGCTCAATTTCGCTAGTAGAGTGGAGGGGATTAAATGTATATTGTATATGCTACCTTGCTCAAACGGACAACGGGCAGGATCCTCACCGAAATATAGTGCAAGTGCATCTGCATTTCTGCCCTGTGCAAGTTATGACAATTAAACATTATATTGGCATATAGAAGATGACTTTGCAGCATAATATAACAAAGATATAATAAAACACAAAGGAAATTACCGCAACAGAATATAAATCCTTGACAGAGCCAACCTGTGCTTCAGCCACACCAACGAATTCCTTTAAGGTCTGATTTGTAGTACAAAAGAACAAACCTATAAGGGACAAAAAAAATTTCTTTTTCTCCCTTTTCATTGAGGGAGAGGCCAGGGGGTACACTTGCGTCTTTTAGAGAATGATAATGATAATAATGTGCACAGAGACGTAGTACACTTTAAGAAACAATAGAAATAGAGCCTTGATGTGCTTATTGAATGATTCCATCACCTTTTTGTTAAATGAATAAAGGAAAAAGAGGAGACAAAAGGTAAATAAAGTCATCCAATTTCCAGAGATAGAAGAGGTGGCACAGAAGTTCAGACTCTTCTCATCAAAAGATACATGGAATTTTACTGCAGCAGCTTTATGCCATAATGAAGTAAAAATATATCTTGATTCACAATCTATCCATCAGATCGAGAAATAATCAAATAGAGCTATTAAGAATCGGAGGAAAATATAAGATACAAAAATGAGAGAATTGCTTCAGAAGCAGATTATTTTTTTTGAGAAAGTTAACTGGTATTATAAACATAGAAGTACACCAATAGTGAACTCCTGTATCTTTTCATTAATTTTTTTAATCTCACACAACATTAGGAGGATATTAGTAGTCCTAAAAATTATGTCCGAGCAAGAAGTAACATCTTAACCTGATGATCAAAGGAGTGCTCTCAGACATCCTAACACCGATGTAGGATAGTTGCACATATCACATAAAACTTAGACAGTTGAAAATAAATATAACTGCCACAATACCTTGCGAAAAATTTCAGACACAGGGCCATCAGTCTCCGAAGCCTCCAGTTCTTTTTTAACTTTTTCCAAACCCTTGATGATTGCTTGCATTTCTTCAGCCAAAGACTTCAATTGTATCTGCAAGAAGAAACAAATTTCTTACCAATCCTGATAAATTCAAAGATATATATCCATATAGAGATAAGACAAGTAACCTTTGACGCAGCTTCCAGGCTTACAAGATCTACATGAAAGTCTAAAAGTGATGGTGACTTGGAAGCAAGAACCTGAGAAAAGAAAAGCAATTAGATATTAAGAGGCCTTTTACATTTATCAATTAGATAACATATTCAGGCAGATGAACAAATAAGTAATATTAAAGAATATACTTCTCAGCTACAGAAATGTTCAGACAACAGAGAAAAGAGGCATCTCATGCCAGGAGAATAAAACTACGAATAGAACGAACGGCTACCTCAAAATCCTTGACAAACAAAAGAGTTGTCTCACCGATGAACAAGGAGAAGTAACCTTTTAAAATGTGCCTTAGTTTAAGAACTTTTGCAATAGTGTCACACATAATCAAATCTTGTACCAAATAATGCCTAAAAGTGTAGCACTTTGGCAAGATGCAGCGAACGATCAGAAGCCAAGGTCAAGGTCCTTGAAGGAATAATTTGTGTTACATATTTCCAAAATATACTTCCCAAGCTGACTATCTATAGAAAGTAAGATCACATTTGAGCACTTATTTACTGGAATAGAGAGATCAAATATTTATTTACTTAATTACATTATTTCTCAACAAAGAGAAGATCAAAGTTAAATTGTTTGTAAATATAGAAAGATCTCATTCTTTTGGGACAGACTATAAATAAAAGAAGTAGCACATAAATTGGACAAGGCTGCACTAACTATAAATAGGTATATAGCTAGATATATCATTTACTAAAACTGAAGAAAATCCACATAATAGGGACTAGGCTGTACTTCAATTTTCTTTCAGTGCCACGTCTAACATGTAAAATGCTTGTAATTTAAAATGTAGTATGCATGATCTCATTTTCAACCTCTATAGCAAGCCCAATGAAATGTACACACTTGGATATATAATTAACAGAATAGAAAAACCGCACATGCATCAAACTGATCAATCTTCTTGCCCTGGACTTTCCTCACAGCATTTCTAACAAAGCGCTAATGTTAAAATGATAAAACGTTTTCATTTCATAGTCCATAGTAGGAGCTGCTTGCAAATCAACACGTCTTTCCAGAATCTCATCTTTTTAATCCTCTGAAGATGGTCTTTTCACATTGCTTTTCAGACAGTCAACCGGTGAAAAGGAAAATTAAAGGAAGCATTAAAGAAATTCAACATCACCACTCTTTTCATGAGGTGACATTGCTGAAAAGCAAAATATAAGGGTACCATTTCTCTAAGTATAGAAACTGGAAAGAGGGCTGAAATAGTAAGCATAATCACTTAGAAACAGAAAAAGTGAAACTGAAAGACTCATCCATACCTTACAAAGATAATGCATGAGTGTCATCTTGTTGTTAGTAGCACGAGTATCAGTGAGCTTCAAAAGACTGTCCAACTTAAATCCAATGGCAGAACCTGAATAAAAGAAAATTCTCGAACTTAGCGCTGGAATTCTAAATCAAAATTTTGAACTGATTAAGCACGTACATTACAGAACCCATAGTATGAAATAAGGTCCTTAAGAACTATTTAGAACTATTTTATATGAGAAAGAACAAGCTCCATTGGAATAAACATAATATATCAAGCAAGATGTTATATACAAACAAGTACCAAGAAACTGAATTATCCATGTCAGGACACACAACCTTACTATCACTTATATGTAAGAACATATGCTTAAGTTTTCCAGATATTCAAAATGTGAAATCATCTAGCTCAGGACCAAAACTATTGAGCAAAATTTGTTAATCCTCTATTCCATCAGATATATGTGTTGGTCCTTTAATTGATTTGGAACAGCTAAAAAGTGAGGCAACATAGTTCATTTATGAATCAACAGAAAAGTATTATTTTATCTGACGATTAAGAGGCTGTTAGGATGGGCTTATAGCTTAAGGCATATAAGCAAAAAGCTATAAGTTAAATTTCTAACTTATGGCCTTTGGCTTATATTTGTTACATTGGCTTTAAAACGAGTACTTAAAAGCACTTTTAAATTGTATCTGAACACTACAAAAGATGCTTAAAAGCTATTTTGATTTCAAAGCGCCTAAAATAAGCCAAGCCAAACAGGATCCAAGTCCATGAAGGAATAACGTAAGCCAGGCACAACTTGTAACTGATAACAATGGTCCATTTCTTACCCATTTTAGGAATTTTACTCGTCATCTTAATAAATAATCTAAGCAGCATATATTCTGTACTAGTAGTCCGCACATTGATGAATCTTTCAATTTATCTGAACTTCTCGTATGCAAAATTAACAAACTTTAACAAAAAAGAATCAATTTTGTGACTTTATTGACTAACCTAAGCAATCAGGGTAAAAGATTGGGTCCCACTCACTTCAATAGTAAATTTACAATAGACAATTGAAACCTCTAGTTGCAGTGTTTCTCCTAGTTTATCTTGTCGAGCAATCATTGTATTTAATTTATAAACTTGAAAAGCCACAAGTTCCACATGGAGGCAACAGAATTTGTCGTACATATTTATCAAACTTCCCAGGATTAGTCTATAATCAGAAAGCTGAGATTTTGAAGAATTATACAGGCATGGAGATTCTTACCTCTGGCAGTTCCCTGGTTCAATGCATTCCCTAGATACAATATTTTCTTCAATATTTCCTTCAATTTAAGAGAATGTCGGACCTGCTACAAGCAAACTGAGTTATGCTAAGAAAACAGGGAAAATAAACAAATTAAATATAGAATCTAGAGAAGTACCTCTTCACAAGCAGAGTTCACTGTGTTCAAGCTTTTTTTGAAGTCCGTGACCTGAGATGAAAATAATTTCAGATGATAGAAGATACTTATTTCAGAAGATTACTAGATGCAAACAAACCTGAGAGTTGAACTGGATCTTGAAGAGAAAAACTCTTAGTTTTGACTCTACTCGGGGCACCTTCATGAGCTCCAGAAAAAACTGGAAGACACACAATATCAGAAATACCACCAATGCATTAAGATTGAGCAATAAGGTAGTATCATAGCACCCTGAGAATCAGTTATTATTCAAATCATTAAAACATAAAAGAGCCATCAAGGCAGGGAAAAGATCCCATGGTTATACAAGTATTTTCTGAACAAGGTAATGGAACAAGCAAATCTAACATCAATCAAACCAAAAGCATTCAAAATATTCTACAGAAAGACAACAATACAACAGGGTACAATTCATTATCATGAATATCTGATGTGTGCCGGCCTCTCAAATTAGTTTTCTCCAAGACTGAATATTTTTTTGAAACTCAAAAAAAATGGCAAAAATATTCAGGTGTCTCGGAGAAATTAATTTGAGACACTGAATATAAAAATGCCATAATTTCTCATCTGGAATAGCACAGGACATCGTGGCGGATAGAAGCCAAACTTAGTTTGCTTCTCATTTTGTGTGGTATCACATTTTTTGGTTCTTGTGGCGATAATTTGATAGATCAGACACAAAACACATACTGGTAATTAAGTAAACAAGTGATACACAGAGTGATACAAGGTTGAAACTAAGTAGGCATTGGCCATATGTTCCACATATTTTTCTTTTTTCTTTTTGGAATTGTAGTTGAAGATGGATGCACACCTGCAGCTTAGCAAGGACAAAACCTTAGACAGGAGCGCATAGGGGTCGAGGATTAGGGTAGAGGTTGTAGGTAGCCGAGTGTTGTCTAGTTTCCCTTATCAGTATTGTTACTATTATTACTCTCCTACTATCTTATTCTTCTTAGTTCTTACCTATGGGATAATAACTGGACTGCAGTTGCCAAACTATATGGGTGTGAAGTAACCATGCAATTGTTTTAATTTTGGATTTCAACACCTTCAATGTTACACAATATAACCTTGCACCCCGGTTCACCTAACTTTCTCCTAAATTTTGGAATGGCCAAACCTTTCCTCACTCGAGCACTAATCAATTCCTCATATTGAACATTGTGCCATTAAAGATACAAACTAGTATCAAATTTCCATGCTTTCTCAATCAAATAGCAGAAGAGGCTGAACCTCAACATTGTCACTTGACAGACCTTTGCTAAGCTTGAACAGTTGCCATCAAAGACAGTCTTAAAAGCAAGCAACAGTGTCTACTTCCATGCTTTCTCTATGAATACCAGAATATGTGAAACTCCTCCTCAGTAGTTTTTTTTAATGACAAGGGGAACCGGCAGCCGCTACCCTTTGAGTGTGCACAGGGTAAAACCCCACTCCTATGCAATTGCTCGCAATCCACGTAGGAGAGGTAACCCACAGTAGGCAAGCCTGGCGCGACGAGCTCGATCTAGAAGACAAACCCCATGCTTTCGTTGGCAAGGGGTCGAAAGCAAGAGGTCGAACTTGAGACCACCAACATGGAAGTCCCAAGCCCGAACCACTGGACCACCCCGAAGGTTCTTCATCTCAGCAATTATTATTAGAGGAGTAAGAAGAATTACCAAAGAACTACCCCCAATTAGTAATTATCAAATCATATATCAATGTCAATTTGCACATACCTACCATTGAGAAGAAAAGTCCTCTTAAAAATATTTACATCCAAAAGAGAAGCAGAAGGGGAATTTGAATATATTAATGCTGGCTAATGGTAAAACAAGCCTTTTGTGTGAGATTGCACTACTTTTAAATTGCAACTCAACGGCACCTATCAAGGCTAAATCTAAAATAAGACCAAGGTCCATGCATTAGATAAAAACTCACAAGCACTATTGGGCATCAATTTTAATAAATGTAGCTGCTGCAAAATATTCAGATGTTCTCCTTGTTTTTACTATACAAAAGTACATATGACAACACATCACAGTAAGGAATGGAACTCGCAAATGAAGAATATCAATCAAACAATAAAACTGAACATCCAGGGACACAGGAAACAACTATAAGAACGTGATTAACTAACCTGTTCACACTTTCCCAGAAGATCCTGGTCACCTGTGTAATTCTGAGAAGTTGTAATAGCAAACATTTAGCAGAAATAACAGTGAAAAAGTCAATTGGTAGAGGAGCCAGAGGAAAAAGAGCAAGAAAACAAAGTTGCAACCAATAGAAAAGCAGCAGAGTGCGTAAGTTCACCTTGAGAAGTTCCATCTCATCTTTGGTAGGACAAAACTTGATAAGATTCTCCACCTGATCAGCATCTAAAATTGACTCATCCATTGCAAGGGCAGCGGCCTACAGACAAACCAATAACCATACTGAAGTTTTTTGATAATGTCAGGTAAATTAACCACCATACTTTATTAGGTGAGCGATAGAAAGCAAGCAAGCATATTCAAGCAAACTAGAAAAAAAATTCAAGAATAAAGACATCACCTAGGTCTACCAAATACATCACAGTAAGAACTAGCTGCTAGATCCACCAAATATGGCTCTGCAACTATCCACAAGGAACACCACATAATGAATAATTCATTACTAATACTTCTGCTATCCTTTTCACTCAAATTTGAGGTTCTACAAACCTTCGGCTTACAAAGCACAGGCTCTAACAGTCTAACCTGAATCTTTCCACATTATTTATGCTAAAATAGAGTGAAAAGAAATAGCAGAAAAAAGCAGGACTCTAACAGCCAGGGAAGTATTACAAGGACTAAGCATCTTTCCTTTGTCCTGGTGCATTAGAACCACAATAAAGCATCTTAATTAACACTGGACAGCTACAGCCACATACCACATTTTTCAAGCGGAGATTCCAACAGCATGAAAATTTTACTATCTTACTTCATGTGTATTGTTAATATTATCCAAAGATCACTTCCTTTAAAAAAAATTATCCAGACAAAAAGTATACTGTTATATGTTTTCAGTCTTAGGATCCTTTGTGACATAACTTGACATAGAATGGTGGTTCGAGTGGGCCCTTGACATATTATAAAACATTACACAATTTAGGTGTAAGGCTGCGTACTCACCACCCTCGTCAGACCCCACTTGTGGAATTTCACTGTTCTTGACTTCTTCTTGTTGTTTCCACAATTTAAAACTTAAAAAGAAATAAGGGCTTTCTCATGTGTATTCCAAGCTAACATAGCAGACTTTACAACTTTTAGGATTCAAGCTCCTCCTATCTCAGAACACAGTAAATAATTCTTGGTTGTAGTCTGAACAAGCTAACAATCAGGATCTTATCATTCTGCAGCGATCAGGAGAGGATGTTTCTATTTGGAAAAGAGAACCAAAAAAAGGCCTATTTGAAAAGGAAAACAAAGAACAAAGAAATATTGGAGAGAATAACATCAAACTTACCATCATGTCAGGCAGTGGCATTTTCACCTTTGTGAGCATAATTTCAGTATTATTTGCCCTCCTCAAGTCAACCTACCAAAAAAGAATTACTTAAAGAAGAGACTTTGAACTTACAGAAAACAAGAAAATGGAATTCCTTCAACCACCAAAATTAAACACGCGTGTAAAGCAACTATAAGCATTCATCTAGCAGGTACCAAGCAAAGGTAAAAAGAAACATGAGATGAATGGAACAAGTAGAAGCAGGAAAGATTACAAGAACAAAGAATTAGGTCAGTAACACTCAGCACTCATATTGTTATATTACCAGGTGAACCCTGTCAGGTTTAGACCCAACAGACTTCCTTCTCCCTCCAGATTTACCCGCATTATCTGACTTGGGGACTGTAGCAGAGAAAAGAGTCTCAAGTTCTGAAAAATCGAATTCTGGTGACCTAGATTTGAAGCAAAGATATTAGTAATTTGATTGACTAGAGTATAAGTAATGTCAAACTTCAAAAGCATGAAACATACAATTGAGTCTCTCCGTTTCTTTGTAGTTCATCCCATAAGCTTCCTTGAAGTGCCCTAGTTACCTTGCTCCAATGCAACGGCTTCAAGTTAGATCTTCGTGGGGCTACACCACCAGCTGCGCGTGAAAATCCTTGCCCTCTCCCAGCAGGAAGGCCTCTGCCAACTGCAGGTCCTTTAGAACCAAAAGGTGGTGGTGGTGGTGGTCCACCACCAGGAGGTCTTGGAGCTCCCGGTGGAGGAGGTGGACCAGGTGCGCGTCCTCCCGGAGGGGGTGGGGGAGGTGGACCAGGTGCACGCCCTCCAGGAGGGGGTGGGGGAGGTGGACCAGGTGCGCGTCCTCCCGGAGGAGGTGGGGGAGGTGGACCAGGTGCACGACCTCCAGGAGGAGGAGGGGGCGGTGGAGCTCCACGTATTGGAGGAGGTGGTGGAGGAGGGCCACCTCCAGGAGGAGGTGGAGGAGGTGGAGGGCCCCGCATTGGAGGAGGTGCTCCAGGTGGTGGAGGTGGAGGTGGAGGCCCCCGCATAGGAGGAGGTGGAGGAGGTGGAGGCCCCCACATAGGTGGAGGTGGAGCTCCAGGCAGCGGAGGAGGAGGTGGTGGTACAGAACCACGTGAAGGAGGCGGTGGTGGTGGTGGTGGAGTTGGAGCTCTAGAAAAAGGAGGGGGAGGTGGTGGAGTTGGCGCTCTAGAAAAAGGAGGGGGAGGTGGAGGTGGTGGAGTTGGCGCTCTAGAAAAAGGAGGAGGAGGGGGAGGTGGTGGAGTTGGCGCTCTAGAAAAAGGAGGGGGAGGTGGAGGTGGTGGAGTTGGCGCTCTAGAAAAAGGAGGGGGAGGGGGAGGTGGCGGAGATGGTGCAGATCGAGTGTTGAATAAAGGAGGGGGAGCGTATGTTGAAGGAGGTGGTGGTGGTGGTGGTGGCGGCGGTGGTGGTGGTGGAGGTGGAGGTGGAGAAACTTGCGAGGTATGTAGGATTCGTGTGGCAAGAGTAGGAGGTGGAGGTGGTGGAGGAGGAGAATAGCCAGTATGCATAGGAGGAGGGGGAGGGGGAGGAGGTGGCGGCAATGTGGAACCCCCAAAGCTAGCCAATCTTGGTAACATGGATGCATATATAGGAGGAGGAGGAGGAGGAGGTGGAGGTGGCGATGAACTAGATACTACTTCTAAGGAAGTCCCATACCCTGTCCAAAGGGGTGGTGGAGGGGGTGGTGGCAAGACCCTACCAGCATTTATTACACTGGATGATGAGGGCAAAGGTGGAGGAGGCAGTGGTGGTGGGGGAGGAGAAAAGGCACCTAGCGGAGTCATCCTCGAGCTAGTAAATGGTGGAGGTGGAGGGGGTGGAGGAGGTGGAGGGGGTGAAAATGAGGGAGGTTCGGGCAGAGCAGATGAAGAATAAGGGTCCGGCTGAGTCAAAGAAGATGTCGTAATATTACTCCCCTGTGAAGACAAAGCTGAAGTCGCTGATGGTGAATTAGTTCCTGCTACCTCAGTATCAGAAGGTTCGTGAGATGAAGTAATTGGAGATGGAGAAAGAAGCGGACTTGGAGGAGATGGATGAAGCTTCAGGGCCTGGCTTTCAACTGATTCTGGGGCAGATATTGTAGCAACAGATGCCTCCACAATTGACATACCCGATGCAGAACATGAAGAGTCTTTCTCTGAAACACGACCTGCTTCAGCAGAAGCTATAGCTTCTGAAGAAGCTTGAGGAGATGGTGACTTTGATTTAACCCCAGACTGAAAATCCTTGGTTAGGGCAAGCACAGGAGGAGCACTGTTATACCTTGATGGTGGATACGATACATGCATTGAACTAGTGTAAGAACCTTTGTTTGGAGGGATCCACCGGGACACTGCATTAGGCTTTGCCGGTCGTAAAACGGTGCCTTGGATTTCCTGCTGTTTAGATTTATTTTTCGGACCAACGCCATCGGCAGCTGGTTTAGCGTTGGAAAATGACTGTTTCTTTAGAGATGAGGTTGTCTTGTCACTTTTTTGTTTACTAGTATCAGCACTCACCTTCTGATGCGAACCTTCCCTCTCTAACTTCTTCTGTCTCAGAGTGTCTTCTTTATCTTGCTTTAGTTCCCCATTTTCTGATGCAACACAATCCCCAGATATTACCTGTTCTGATTCCATGTTGCTAGTACCATTGGAAACTATAACCTTTGAGGATATAGAGTTGTCTCTCTCTCCTAAAATATTTTTTTCTGATGCAGAGCGATTAGAATCCATCTTTCCTTCTTGCTTGTGATTTACTTCGTCTGATGCACAATCTTGAAATGCATGATGTTCCACCTCCTCTTTCCAGATCATTTCAATACTATCATCATCCTGCAAACTTTCCTTGACAATGTGGGCTCCAGATTCCCCCCTTCCATCCTGCCCATCAACAGCATTGCTGAATATCTCTTCGACTTCGAAAAACTCCTCAGGTGAAGCACCTTCAGTCCCATTCTCATCCTCACTTGGCACTTCCTCAGTGACAACAGATGGAACAGCATTAGGATCCGAAAAGAGTACCTGGTACAGATATGAGTATTCTTCAACTTCACAATTTCATAGTAGATATTAAAGGGGGAACTAAGATCCAAAGTGGAAATAAATACCAGACCTCTGCTTTGAACCCTCTAGGAAATTGGTCTTTTGCATCCCACAGGACATCAACATCATCACGCATTAACATCAAAACATTTGAGCGAATAAATGTAGTGTGGAACATGACCCTGAACATCATTTCTTCCCTTACTAGATCATCTTCCAAATGGACACACTCGAGAACAACATCTCCTTGGACACGACAATGGATGTCAATTTTCACCATTGAACACTCTTCCTGCAGTGAGGAATTAGCAGACTACTTGAGATTTCAGCCAACTTAATCTTCATTAAAAATCTCAACTTTAAAGCTGAAAATTACCTGTTGGTAGAAGCGAGCATGTTTTTTTGTCTTTAGAGTTGAAAAGAGGAGCTTAGAGCTCCTATTAGAGGTTGTTGAAGCAGGGTCCTGTCCATAGACGCGAAGTACAGGTCGACAGCCTCTCCCTCCATCAAATAGAGGAGGAAAACTAAGTTTAATGCAATCTAAGGCAAAAGGTGTATCTGATGGCAGCCATTCTGAACCAAAATTTTTTCTGGAGATGTACTGGAGATATCTAAGCTGAGATGGCTGTGGATTCAGAGGAGACAAAAGATGAAGCAGCTCCCTAGGGGCCTGCTTGTATACCATTTCAAGAGTTTTAAGCTCCCCAGTGTACTGTTTCCGGTACAAAAGAAGGCCAGCAAGCATAAAAGCAAGTACAGGCCAGCCTCCCCTCTCACAGTGCATTAACAGGACGTTTTGCTGACCCTCAAGTGAAAGCCAACTCTCACTTGAGCGCAAGAAGTGGTGGATCATCTCCAGAGGCAGAAGTGGACACCCTTCATATTGCCGAGGATAATCCATCACAGTCATATCATACTGAGACAATATGTCAGATATTTGGCTCCTCCTATCACCTTCCCTAAAGTTAAAAACCATGAAAGAAGCATCTGCATAGTGGTCCTGCAGCTGAGCTACAATCCCCCCCATATATGTCTTGTACTCATCTTCATCCAACACGTCAGTGGAGAAGCAGCAATCAAACACTGCAAGTATGACGTACAAAGGGAAAGTAGAGAAAATGTCAGAAATTACACTCTCAACCCAAAGAAGCTATCGCTCTGAAGAACTGCCTACTTTGAGATAATGAAGACAGTAACATAGTTCTTCAAAGCGGCAGAAAAACATCTAAGCTTCAACTTCTAATCTAAAAGAAGCTGCAACACTAAAATGTAGGGTACTAGCACATTTTATCGCAAGGAGTTGCATTTCCTCTAGTCTAGAACTTCACTTACGTAGAAAAGCAATGGCTGATATTCCAAATGTAGCTAATAGGGATAGTGATCAATAAGGAAACATGATAAAAGCAAAGTAAAATGCAGAAACAATAAGCTCCTTGAAACTATTCTTAACACAGTTCATAAGCTCAAAAACAGAATAAAACACAAAATTACAAACTCCCAGACTAAGAAAAAAACAGCAGCTTACCGTAAACCCGCTCAGAGATCTCTAAAAGCCGATCCGGCGGCTTCCTATAGAAGAACCGTCTGAACAGCGCCATCTAATGGCGCTGTTTCTCCCCTGATCGGATCCAAAACCCTCCAATTCCACCCTTCACTTCAAAGTCCACCGAATTCACCCGTAAAACAGATCTCTCAACAAAATTCCCAATTCAACAGTTCAATTGATCTCAAATTAACTCCCTTCTACAAATACATCAACAATTCACTTAATGTAGTAGAATAATCACCACGAGAATGCAAAATACAGCTGGATTTCTTCAAATTACACTAGCTCAACCAATAAAACTCTCTAGAGAACAGCCGAAAAAGTAAGATCGAGGTGAAAATGAGTTTAGGGTTTGTGAGTTGAAGATGAAAAAAATTCAAAATATCAAAAAAGAGAGTTGAAGAATGGATTAGATGAGAATGGAAGATATGATCGTTGCCATTGTTTTTAGGAAAGTCAGATAGAGAGAGAGAGAGAGAGAGAAAGGCAAATTAGGCAAAAGGGAGAAGAAGAAACGTAGTGGACTGAAAAGTATGAGAATAGTCGTAAACATACAGGAAACTACTGTGTACATACTTGAATCCGATAAAAATACATACACCCGACCCGATCCTAACCCGTGTTGGTTCGTTGTCTGATGCGGAGTGGTGAGGGGCTAAATGGACCATGTAGTACACGTGGCGTATATGAGACAGAGAAAAGGCTGACACAGAAAAAGAGAGATGAGGAACTGGGGTATAAGGGTTCCGACAAAAAAAAACAATTTTAATCACATGCGTCACCCAAAGTCCAATAAAGTCCAAAGTACCCGACCCGACTGAATCGGGTTCCACTACTTCTCTTTGTCCGAATTTGATTTTTTTTTTCATATTTAGTATGTTAAGTAGGACATAAGATTATTTATATTGAATTTAAGTGAGTATAAAATAGATACATATTAATTGAAGTAAAATCAAAAAGGACATTTATTTATAACTTTTCTTTTTCTTTAAAAAAAAAATTATTTGCCTTTTTAGCACACTTCTTTTGCTACAAATGGGTCGATTGGAACTTTTACTATATTTAATATCAATATTTTACTTAATTAGTTTTAATGTATGTACTTCGTTTCTTTTTTATTGTTATTTTTGTTAATTCTAATAATTAATTTTAATTATTTTCATATAGAATTTTAAATTTTTAAAAAAATGAAAACAAAGTATATCCATTTTATATTCCCTTTTTTTATATTTGTATCAAGTTAAAATTTAATAAACAAAATAATATTTAAAAAATTATAAATAATACGACCTCAATTGACCCCGCCCCTCCATTTTTATTAAAATATACAATAATTATTTTATACTATAGGATAATATATTATTAGAGATTTCTCATCGAATAATTTTTCGATAATGATTAACTTCCTTGTCATATTTGTTGGTAATGCAAAAGACAAAATATAACCCTGTGAGAAGTAGCATGATTATGAGGGAACATTTAGTTGGTTTAATTTAATTCTTAAATTCTTGATTTGGTAAAAGTGAAAATAGAAATTAATTTAATTTAGTTTAATTCTTTTTAATTTTCTTTAAGTGAGATTCACATTATTTTGATTTGTTTTCACGATTTTTTTTTTTAATGTATGATTATTGGATTTGCAATTGATTTCCAGAATTGTAAATAATCTCATCAAATTAAATAGCTCCTGCAAAATTTGCACGCTAAAAGGTAATAAAAAATAGAAAATAAACTATGCTCTGATTTATTTTTTTGTCACGTGATAGCTCTTCTTTTTTTATTGGGGTGTCAGTGTGAAAGCATGTTTGTTAATGCTTACCTTAAGGTTTATATTTATTTATTCTATAATAATAATAATAATAAAAATATATTAAAAAGAAATTGTTCAGAAGATAAAATAAGAAAAACAGAATAATAAAGGAAGTGTCGACCAAATATTTGGATCACAATATACAACTGTTCCTTGATTTCAATTTATTAACAAATTTTGAATCAATCAACAAGGTTGACATCTATATTAAAAAAATCATAACCGTTTGATTTCGTATATAATTTTACATGAAAAAAATTAAAATAATTAAATTTTAATATAATGTTGCATTGCGAATGAAAATTTAAAAAGAAAAAAATGAACATCCAAATATTCTTGTCTTTATGCTTTTTTGTCTTGTAAATTCTATTTGATGCTATGTATTTTTTTTAGCTAGCTAGAAAGTTTGACTTTAAAATAAAAAATTATTGCTATGAAAAATAGATGGTATTTTGAAGATTTAAATTTACGATGTTTAATTATTACTATAAGTTATAACCTTGAGTAATATTTACGCTATTTAACTTTAAAGTCTAAGTTATATTTATAACCTTGAGTGATATTTACGCTGTCTAACTTTAACGTCTAAATTGTATTAGTAGAGAGGATATATTAATTTTATTTGAAAGAAAGATTATGCATCAATGAATTTACATAATTTCTAAAGTATTACCTTTTTTGTTAATCTTTTTTTGTCTTATATATATTAAAAATAGGTGTTAATTTTTATTTGTATATTTTTTAAAAAATATAAAAATTGATTTATCACGCTCTTAATTTACATTAATGAACAGAAAGTACTTAATATCGTCTACTACCTTTCAAACATTCGATTAAATGGTCAAAAGATTTAAATTTAAAATTAGATTCTGACATTTGATTAGTTAATTATTATGAATACAATTTGTACACTTTAAGAATATTAATAAAGTTTTTCCTAATTAAATTATTTACTGAAATTTTTAATATTTAAAAAAAAAACAATTATGTTCTTTAATGATATAAACACCCAATCAATCACTTGCATTAAATTAAAGAGTTGTAAATAACCATACATTTCCAACTAGGGGAAGGATGGAGACCATGTTAGATAGGCTGGGCATAAAAATAAAATGTTTCACATTCTATTCTATAACCCAATATCAAAAAATTAAAATTTATTTTTATATATTTTGACTTTATGCCCCCCCAAAAAAAAAAGTTTAGCATTTAGCAAATAGATAATCTTTGTAATAGTATAGTTTATTTACTTTGTAGTGTTGTGGTAGGTGACCAAACTCACGGGGTGGAAGTAAATATTCGATAGGTGTTCGATCGAAAAATATTGTCATGTAAAATTTCAGAATGATAATAATAATGGTTGGTAGATGATATAAAATATGAAACTGTTGTTATGAAAATCAAATCATAAAATTATGATAAAGATTGAAATTAAAAAAATAACTTCAACCTTTTAAAGAGAGTTGAAAAACATATAAGTTATTTTTTAAATGTGAAATACAACTTTAAGCAAAATTTAAAATTTTCATAACGAAATGCTTATTTTCAAATAAAGTAAAAACTTATTCTAAGAAAATCATTGATAATTTTTATGGCCAACCGAAATATTGTAGCAGGAAACCATCACAAGAAATTAGTAATACTTAAATGTATAACAAATAAAATTAAAAATAGCAAAAAATAAAATAAAAATTATACCTCATAATAGTGAAATAAATATTGGCCACGATTTAAACATTAGATAATTTGATACAATTAAGACAAAGGAGTAGCACAAAGTCAACAAATTTGCATTGCATTTTTTATCACTATATTTTTTTTTTCAGGAAAAAAACATTATTGTACTTTGATATATATATATATATTTTTAAAAAAAAGATGAGAAAAGACAGGAAGATATGATGATGAATCAAACAAAATATATGTAGTAAGAATTAAACAAAGTCATGTGACCATAATTTCTTGTGATGTTCATGAAAAAGATGTTAATGTCAATCATCACTTTATCTCAGTACATATATACTCCAAATATGCATGTAACATAACATGGCTTTCATGAATGTGATCCTTTCGAACTTATGTGGATGTTTACGTTAAATTATATTTAATTTAAGCGTAATTTATCGCTTGGTCACTTAAAATTGACATTAACTTTCACTTATACACTTTAACTATGCAAAAAAGTGTCAAAATGCCACACCAAAACATGTCATGAGGTGTCTAAAATAAACAAAGTCTAGTCGGAGTATCTAAGTGAGAATTAGCGTCAACTTTAGAAGGTTACCGATGAATTAGACCTTTCATTTATCAGGATTAAATAAATTAATCAAATATAATATATATTTTAATAGTAGGATTTAGTGAGAAATATATGAATATACGCAGATTCATTTAACTTTTTGTGTATTTTATTTATTTAGATCGAGTTATTACATAATTTATTTTTGTGTTTCGATAGAAAGTAGAAGGAGGGGGTGGGGGGGAACCCACCACGTGTTTGTCATATGCTAATAAGTATTTAAGGAACATGATGATTATGATGGTAAAAATTAATTAGCAATTAGAGAAAAAGTAAGAATGTGATTGATTATAAATTAAAGTTTTTGACAAAAGGTGAGAAGCTTTTTAAAGAGGAAAAAATACATTAGAGAAGTACTGTATGATGCTGGGCATCATGTATGTTTCCTAATTACCAATTTTACCTCATGAATTACTTTTTCCAAAATACACATTATCCTCCGTAGATTTCACTTGATATTCTTTTATTGACAAATTTCACCTTCTTTGAAATTTTTTTACTTTTTTTTTAAAATTTATATTTCTACGACATGCGAAATCAGATTACTTTGGAAAAAGAAAAGGAAGAGAAGAATAAACATGTTTGATCTTTTCAATTCAATTTTTAATTTTCATTTCAATTATTACCTCTAGGTGGAATCGCACCATAATTTGGTATCTGCCCGTGAGTTCTGGACCATAATTTTACAGAGTGCATAATTAGATGTCACCCAAAGTGAAAACCAAGCAATTGTTGCAAAGGCCCTTTAGATAATAGCCCATTGGTGGAGCCCAATTATATTAACTCAACATAACAAAACTCCCATGTTCATGATTTGACATCATATCATATCAAATCATTATCCAACCAATCCTCATGTGGTCCTATTGCCATTACTTAAACTAATATTCCACCTCTCATTTAATCACATTCAATATATCTCATATGAAATTTGTGACGTTCGTGACAAAGGGCAGACTGATGAATATGGATCAAAGATAAGCTATTAATAGAAGGGTATATGTGACATCTCAGGCGAATCCAGAAGAAAGTGAAAAGTTCTACGAGACATAACACAAATCTACATGGCACAAACTTTTGGACTTGATGAATGTTGTAGCCCATGAGACAAATCTGTGAGGTTTGTAAGGGGCAAAGTGGACAATACATACAATGAGTTTGGGCTGTGACAAAATTACTCATTGACCTTCTGGGATTCATATCTTCTCAATATGTACTGTAAGAAATGCTTCATGTTTCTTCCCTGTATATATATCTGGATTTTCTTGGGCAATGACAATGGAGTTTCTCTAATATAACACGCGATAAAGCAGCTGGAAAATGCATCGGCTTCTTTACTCAGTTCCCTTGGAACTAACTATATGTATCTATCAGCAACGTACAGAATACACTCACTACTCTATGATGGATGGAAGGGCAAAAATGAGTGAGTTTTGACAGCTAAGAACTATATACATTGACGCGGAGGAAGAGAGTGGAGAGACAATACTCAGAGAATTTATTTTCAGGGCCTTGAGAAATTTAACGAATAAAGGACGTCTAGCCATTGCTTATTTTCTTGAAGCACTTGCTGCAGCCCTTGAATAGAGTCGGTTCTTAACTTTGTGAGTCTTCTGCACACTGCTATGGATCGAGATCAACAGCTCATCACGTTCAGCTACTTTAGAGTATGTGAGACTTTCTTGATTGTTGTGAATCCACTGTCAAAATTCCTGTACCTCGTTTCTTTACTGTATAGTATACCGTGTGAAATAGGAGCACCATACAATCAGTTTCCGTTTTTCCTCACTGAAAAGGAAAAAAAAAGGAAAAGCTCAGTCGGGTGGTTGTCTAATACAACTGTATAGAGTAGCAACCCACAAAATAAGTAAATGAATTAGACGAGAAGACAATCTACGATAGATTAACAACTGATTAGCAATTGTTTAAATGCATGTCTGGGAGGAGTCATGTTGTTATCTTCTCTTGTCAACTTTCAAACAATTGCTAAAAGATTCAACAACCGTAGCAAAAAAGTTAATTACAGGTCACTATAAATTCAGAGGCCTTATGTATTGTACACATAGGTGTGATTAAAAAGGGCCTTTACAAAGTAGTGAAACATTTTACCTCTTTGGAACCATGATCGTCTAACAGCTTGTCGGATCTGGCGCTCATGTTTCTCCAGGAGTTCTTCAACTCTGTGTGATTGAGATAGCAAAGGTCCTGAGAATTCAACTTTGTCCATTTGATCCTGAACCTGTTCAAGGTACGATTATAAAACATCAATTTAAGTTCAATGATTAAATATGCAACTCCATTTTATGAGTTTGCAATAGGCTATAGCTTCTCTGAATGTTTCAGTAACAAGCATGGAGGCTTAATTATTCTAAAGCATAGTCACCAATTTCATCATTTGGAAAAATAACAGAATAGGACAGAAAATGAATTAAATGCAGAAGTTGTAACCCGAAAATCTCTAAATTCATCAATTATCCTGTTTTTACTGACTGTTCCATTTAGAACAATCGCATCCCTTTATTTTAAGCAGGTTTTAACAATGTGAATAGAAAATGTGTAGCTATTATATTTGAAGACTGAAAAAAATGTTTGACTAACCACATTGATCCTCTTGAAAGCTGTCTCCTCTTTCAGATAGAGAGCCAGTGACAGTTCTTGAGAATGATAGCCATCAGAAGTATCAAATGAATCTGTCTGCTCTAATTGGCTCCAATGTCGTTGCATTGCATGTTTGGTGGATTCATAGGTGTCACGGCCCTTAGAATTGGTGTGACTTCCATTTGTAGCTACATAGTTCTCTTGTTTTTTTAGCTCCGTGTTATTTTTAGTATGAACTGCACCTGAAGGTTCAAACTTTAGGCTTCTTGAACTTGATTTACTCCTTGATCTCATTGACGAATCATCAACCCGTCTTTTCGCCCATGCAAAACCACTTGATCCTGAAACTTGAAGAGGGCCTGAAAAGGGGACATCGCCTTGAGATGCATTCTTAATGTGGGAAGCCTCTCCCCTAAAATCGACAGATGGCTTAGGTCGCTCAAGACCTATAATAATGTCTCCTTCTTTTAGAGTACCCAGACTACTACCATTACTTTTAGGAACACCTTGATTTTGGACAGGTAACTTCTGCAGAGAAAAAAATCATTTAGCTTTCTCTGTCTATAATATGCAAAATGAAGGAAAAAATGCACCTAAATTTTTTACAGGAAAAAGGAAAAAAAGAATACCTCTTCAGGTGCCAGTTTATTTGTCGCATTCTGTTTTCTGATTGACTTTCTGGTTGTCTCAGGTCCACGGGCTCTTCCACTAGGCTTCTTCCTGAAAATTCTCATATATTTAGATCAAAACTTAGCAAGATCTGTGCAATAGCTAGAAAATGTAGCAAATGCAAGAGCTGGTGTCAGCACTTGAGAGCAAGATAGGGAGCTTAAATATTACTATCATTTTGTGGAAGTAATCATTCAATCAAAACCAGTTTTGCCGTTTTAGTCAAACAAGTCTATACTCTGTTTCAAGTTATCATGGTTTTGAGAGTATCATTGACTAGATTATAGCATAATCATACTCTTACAGCAAAATGACGGATGGAAAGCATGCTTCGTCCTTGTCCTTTTGTGTAGGGTTGGTTTTGGGGGAGAGGGTGCAGAGGGGCATTGGGTAGGGTATTTCCCTTTTGTCAACCATTGTGATTTTCCCTTAAAAGTAAAATTATAACCAGAAAAATATTCCAAAAGATTCTCCTGGCAGAATGTTATCAAGTTCTCACCTTTTTGCTTCTTCACAGTGTTTGGCATCAATCTCTTTGCTTGGTGGATACTTTGGCAGGCTTAAAGGATCGCAGGCATGAGGCTTTGTCTTGAAGTACTAAAGATAGAATCCGAAAGTTAGGAATTAGAGATTTTGAAATTTATGTACTTGTAAAATAAAGAAAAAGAAAGTTTTACCAGAGAGGGAGGATACAAGGATTTTCTATTAGCAAAAACTAATACACATAAATAACTTATCAAGAAAAAACAAAATGAGGAACGTAAATAGTAAGATAACAAAAGGAAATAAAGTAGAAACTAAATTTTTAAAATTTAGAGAAGAAAACATGAGAAACATGTAAAAAAAAAAAGAGTTGGAAGAAGAGAACATGAGATAGATTTCAAAATGCACTTAAACAATGAAAAAGCGAAGAACAAACAATAAAACAACATTTCCAGGTTATAAAAAATGAAAATCAAGACACAATGATAAGAAAGGGAAATTGTCATTACCATATCAAAAAAAAAAGGGAAAGAAAAGAGAGAAGAAATATTAAAATAATACCTCAGATGCAAGGGCAGAAGAAGCAGTTCCACGTTTCGGTGGCTCCACTGAAAGAAGAGTCTCTATGAGTGAGACTGAACTTTTGGTTAGATCTTTAAATGTATCCCACAGACAGCTCTCATAAGGATGTTGTGGTTTAAATAGAGTTGCATGAGGAAGTTTAGATTTCTTCCAGTAATCATCTGGTGGGGATCCACAGAGCTTAAAAATTTTATGCAGCTGTTCAACCTGTAGCACAAAAGAGCGATTATTCAGCTATTGATCATGCAGCAAAAAACTAAGAAGTATTCAGGGTAATTGGCTAGCAATAAATCAGTTCATCAAGAAAGACTAAACGTGAAGTTTGAGTTAAATAGGCACATTGCATTACTAAGGAAAGAGGAGGATGGAACAGTGTGAGCGGTAAAGTTTTTATGGGGTACGGTCTCTGCAGAAGTATGTTACTGATCTTTTATTCAATAAAAGTAGATGAGAAAAGGTAATTTGAGCAAACAATTATTTAAATAACAATTGCAAGCTTGTTTAACAAGATTGATGATTTCGACCACTAAAGTGTGCAAAGAGATCTAAAAAATGAAGGAGGTACCTCAGTTCTCCCCTGAAGAATGGGTTTACCAGTAAGAAGTTCACCAAACACGCATCCGACACTCCAAAGATCCACAGAGGCTCCATACTCTGTGGAGCCCAACAGAAGCTCTGGAGGACGATACCATAAAGTGACAACTCGGCTGGTTAGTGGTTGCTTCCTTCCAAGGTTACAGAAGTTCGCCAATCCAAAATCTGCCACCTTTAAAATTCCGTCATTATTTACCAGAAGATTTGCACCTTTGATGTCCCGATGCATTACACCTCGAGAATGACAATGCTCGATTCCAGACAACAACTGCTTCATGTAGCATTTAATCTGTAAAATGAGCCAGCTCATCTTTAGCCCAACAATAATAGTAAGAGCTCACTGGGTGGAAGAGAAGGTAAAGTTTACCAATAACATTTCCAAAACAAAACGAATGCAATTTTTTTGCCAGTTTTTTTTTTCATGAACCATTCATTGAAAAGATTCAGTTGATAAAGCTGCAAGGGAATGATATGAAAAGTTAGCAAACCTGTGATTCGCTGAACTCAACTTCTGGACAAGACAGGAGTCCTGAAATATCATGTTCCATATACTCGAACACAAGATACATGCTACAAGACAATCTGGAGGTAATTAGACCTTCTAATTTGATGATATTGGGGTGATCAAGCCTGCGGAGGATCATAATTTCTCGTGCCATAAATCTAACACTTTCTGGCTCGAAGTTATCAAACCGCACCTTCTTCAGGGCAACTGTTCTTCCACTTTCTAAATCACGTGCTCTGAATACGCTGCTGTATGTACCCTGACCTATCTGTTAGAGCAGTGAAATGGTATAGGAAAAACATTCCTCAGTTAGAAAACCTAAAGTCACAGAATGATATTAAAAATTGTTAGAAAGTCTACCAATTAGGAAGAAGAAGCATATTGACCCTAGTTAGCTGATGAGCAGCAAACTTGAATTGGTGCATAGCAAATAAAAGCGCAGTTCTATTTTTCTCCATGAGTTTTAAGGTGTTTCCATCATTTAATATTTCTTTATGTTAATAAAACAGTTGTAAGAAGTTTCATATTTCAGTACAGCAACATTCTTCTCTTGATACCAAAACTGAATTCATCAAATAGGTGTAGTAAAGAAAATATCATTTTTTTAGAACTGGTAAAATTTTCACCTCTCAGCTGCTATGGAACAGTGATCCAAGTTAAATGTATTACTCTCAACAGGTGAAATATCAATGCAACAGTGCTTATGATTTTTTTTAAAGAACTAATGACTTAGAGACCTAGTTGCCTGTTGCGGAAGCGTGTATTTTGGAATTTGGATGAGTATACGAGATGAGCCAACCAAACTGACTCACTATAATCCAAACATCAGTCCGTGAAAAGGGTGGAAAAAAGGAAGTTAGCAACTCAACCTTTATTAATTCACCGGCTTTAAGTTGAAGTGAAAGAACTATATGGAAAGGGTAGACTTTTCTCATTAAGCTAGCAGCAAACACTACTACCACCCGATTCCTTTTCCATTTTGGTACAATGCTTTCAACTAACAAGCAAAAGAACCGCAAGAACAAATCTTTCATCTTATCTTCTTAAATCTAGTTTTCTGTCTGTCTCTCCACCCCACCCCCGAAGCCCTACTCAGGGAAAGAAGAAACAATAAGAGATATGATGCATCAATTGATAAGAAAAGAGAGATAGATGACTATAAATAAGAGAATTAAGCCGGAAAAACAGACTTCACATTAACTTATTTTACTTTACATACTTAATTTCTGTTATGCTTTATTACTTGAGAGATATCAAAAACAATTTCTTTTACCTTCCTAAGGCAGGAGTAAGACTACACGTACACACAACCACCCCCAGGGGGACTACATTTGGGTTTGTTATTGTAAATTTCTTATGACAAAGAGGACAAACACCAGTCTGGTCTTGAATCTAAGAAAAGTACCCTGCCATATGAGACGTTAACCTGATATATCACAATCAAATGAGAAAGTACTTTTGAGACATCCCTAAGCTACAGCAGTAGCACAGGACAAAATTAAGTAAAAGACAACTACTAAATAAGGACACAAACAGAGATTTATACACATAGCTAGCGCTTGTGTTTTGACCATAGCTTTTGAAAATTTATCAAAAATATCTTTTTGGCGAGTTACCAGAAAATGGTCTGTTCCCCAAACAAAACTTTTAAAAAAATAAAATTAAAAAGTGAAATATACAAACACATCTTCAAATTACAAAAATCCAAACTTTAAAGTTTCAACTTCGAAATCTACGGAGAATCAAATTATGGTTTTGGCAACAAACCTTTTCCAATTTTTCGAAGGACTCAGCTCTGAGAGGCACCCATCCTTGAATGGCTTCCCCTGCTACAGCACTAAGCCAAGCAGGCCACCCAGCAGCCACTTGTTCTCCTTCCACATATTTCTGCAAATTCCCCAACCTAAAACTCACTGACTCACTACCACACCCATTCGAACTCGCCCTACCTGACTCATCCAACTCGCTCCCCGCACCCGAATCTCCCCTCTTCTTCACCTTCTTCAAATCAAAATCCAACCCAAACCCACCACTCCCAACCCGACCCCTACCCGACCCGACATCTTCCCCATCTCTAACGAGAATCCCCGAATGATCAAATGCAGGAGTAACCGACACAGTCTGCTTGGACGCCACACAACCCATGGTGGACAAAACAAAAAATGTCAGCAACGACAACCCGAAACCACCATTACAGACACTTTCTCCTTCAACAAAGACTAACCCAGATGAAATTCCACCAAATCTTGACGTGGGTCAAGTTCAAATTCTCAAGCAACCAATGCCAATCCCAAATATATTTATACGATCAAGAAAACTCTGTTTAAAGTCACTTCCTTTTCTGTCTCAAAACTTTTAGTTGCGGCAATTGCGGAAAGTGGGCAAGAAGGGAAAACTACAAGGTTTATTAATGGGGTTAGCACTTGGCAAATAGCAATAGCAGCAACGGAATGAAGCGCAATCAACGGAGAGAAAAGGAAGTTGCTGCACTTTTTACACTGACGTTCTGCTGCCTTTGTTTATAGGCTGTGTTGTGTGTTTCTTCACATTTGCCTTTTCTTTTTTTTGTGGGAAAAATAATTTATTTATGAGAATAATAAAGAATTGGCAGTCATTGAGAGCAACAAGTCTTTATTGACTTTTATGAGCACAAATTTAAAATTTTCTATTCTTGTTTGTTCCAGTAGGTCTTTTCGGAAAAAATCATTTTGGTCAGGAAATTTAGTTAGAATGATAAAATAACATATTTTATATTATGCTATTTTATTCCTAAAAATATTTTTTACTCTTTTAATTATAATTATTTTGATTAAAAAATTAAAAAACAAAAATTTATTTTAAACTAAAAAAGTTTTTTTTTATTTGGTAAACACTAATATTTCAATATTTACATCAAATCAATAAAAAACACTCATCTACTTAACTAAATGAACTTAAATGTATATATCCGACATAATACATCAAATCAATACAAAACACTCATCTACTTAATTAAATGAACTTAAATACATATCTGATCTAATACATGATATATCAAGTTGTTTCAAACACTAATAAAAATGTAGAACTGTTAATAAAAAGTTGAGAAATTAGAGGTCTATTCACTCATTTGACATCACAAATCTATTTAAGTTAAGCAAGTTAACTAAATAACTGTTTTTAAAATTACCAATAATTTAAAAATAAAATTAATAATTTACGTTAAATTTAAGAATATCCTTTTAAAAAAACTCTACATAATATATTTGACTTGGAGTGTATACATTATGAAGTGGTTAATTTTATATAGTACTATATGGTATATGGACAAGTGTAGAGTGTGAGCAAAAAAAAAACAAGTCCTAAAAGAGAGTGAATTTGGCAATAATGTAACGCGTGGAATAAACTGTGTGGGTAGGAAACATGTTGGTTGAGTTGGTGTTGACTAATACTGTAAGTTTGGACAATTGTTATCCATTGTATTGTATTTGTATCGTTATTATATTTATAATATCTGTTATGATTGTTACTTAAATTATATTGTATTGTATTATTAAATTTTATTGTTACGTAATAATGAAAACTTTTATTTTACAGAACAACCAATTTGTATGTTTCTATTGTTTCTTAATTTCTTTTTTCAATTATATATTTACATAATATTTTAAAATACTATTTTACCCTTTATCTTAATTATTTAAATCTAGTCAAACCTTCTATCCTAGAAAAATTAGGAGATTTTAGTAAATTTATAAATTACAATAAAGTACGATACGATCAAACCAAACAGTTAAAATGTTATTAAAAAACAACAAACAATACAGTCTAACCAAACATGTATCTATTATACAATATATAGTACAATACAATACAATACAATACATTATAAAACAATGGGTAACAATGATCTAAACAAAGTACAAAATACCACTCTGTTTATATTAATTTAATTAATCTGATTATAAATGTATATAGGTTTGGTTCAATTTTTATGTAACAGTTGTAGTCTTAATGGAGAGGGCCATCTTCTAGTTAATAATATTTATAGCAATAATATATATATATATAGAGAGAGAGAGAGTTAAATTTTACTCTCTTCATTATTTTTAATAATTATGTTATATTTTTTCGAAAGTTTAATTTAATTAATTTTTCAAAATTATATCAAAAGTATTATAAAATTATAATTTTTTACATATAAATACGATAAAAAATAAATTATAAAACGATAATCAAAATTCTTATTATTTGACTTAAAAAAAAGAAAATCATAACAATTATAAGTGAAGTCTGAAAAGAACAATGCATGTAGACTTTATTTATTTCTAATAGAGATTGAGAATTTGTTTTTGATACTTCCTTCATCACATGTTAGTAAATCATCTTATTAAAAATAGTTGTCTGCCTTACTAAATTATGAAAACGTTAATTAAATTTTCCTATATTATCCTTGTAATTAGTTCATTTTAAAAAGTGTTGATATTTATTTGTAAAAATTTTAATTTTTTTAAGAAGTGAATTAGAAAAATTATTATTTTATTTATATTTTTTTAATTAAGATGGAGTGCGAGAAGGAAGAGGACAATTGTGTGAATAAAGAAAGAAAAAGAAAAGGGAAAGTGAATTGAATGATATAAAGAGAGGGAACAATGAGAGATGCTTTTTTCTATTAATGCCTATTAGCTGTTTATTTATTTTCTTTACTTTTTCCAATTTAATGACTCCTTTTAGGGTGTATAGGATACCAATAAAAAATGAAAAATATACCACATATAACTATAAATTAAAAAAAAAAATAGTACTTAACTTTTTCAGATAAGATCGATATCACTTTTCTGTTTTGCTTTTGTTTATTGTAATATTAAAATTGATCTGAGTTATTAATTTTATTTTTAAATAATGTTATATGAGTGAAATTTACGCTTAAATTATTATTAAATAACTTTTTTCAGTATTTTATTAAGAGTGTCATTCTTTCACAAGGGACTGAGACCACTTGTTATGTCATGTTATAGATTAAATATATATCTAAATTTGATTAGTAAATAAATAAATATTTTTAAGACAGATTATTCTTAGACCAACATTTTTGGGCATGCTTGAGCCCAATTTCCTAGCTGGATTATGATGTCAAATCATTTCCTTTTTAATTATAATGATTACCATGATATCATCCATGTGAAAAATATATATATATACAGTGGAGTGCCACAAGCTTTTTTTTTATTTTTAATTTAATTCTTTTTGGCAAGTGTTTACCCCTTTTTCTATTTCCATTTGTCTTATAGTAACCAACACTTGTTTTATTAAAATAATAATAATAATAATAGTGTGAAACTTTAATTATTTGTGATGACCAAAATCCTAATGTTGTGAGCATTGACTTCCAAATTCTCATGCTGCTCTGTCACATGCAGAAACTTTTCCCATTAGAAAAAGTATTTGTTGTCTAATTAATCACATAAAAGTACTTAACTTTCCACATGTCCTTGCACATCATTAGGGAAAATAAGTACTAATGACCTTAATAAAATTTACTTTTAAAATCTTATGACCACGACTCGTCTTAATAAGATTAAGAGCCTAAATTAAATTTTATACAGAGATCACAATCTTTTTGACAGTCGCCAAGTATAAATTGAATCCTAATAATAATAATATATTTAATGTAATTCTTCAAAAAAAATATGAAAAAAGTCGATCCAAAAATTATATACCGAGGAGGGTGGTTGGTTGAGAAATGAAAAATTATATAAGATTATGAAAATATTTAATGAGTAAGTAGTGTTCAAAGGTTTGGGACCATTTTTTCATGTTGGACAAGTGATTTAGCCACCAACTTTCATAGAAAAATGAAGAAGCGATGGCAATTGGATATGTTATAACAAATCCATTCATTCAAAATTGTAGGGATAAAAACATTTCTCCTTACTATTCATAAAATAAAATAAAAATTATAAATATTCATTTAGCCTTTTTCACACTCTTTTAAAAATAAAAATATTTTAATTATAGTTACTGCCAAAGATTGATGGATTGTCATAATAAATGTAGGAAGTAGCTAGTGTACTTGATGGTTAAAGAACATGTGGACTTACAATAATTTTTCATAGCTAGTTGAAGGAACTTTAGTGCATTTGCAAATTTATTAGAAATTGACTTCGTGATTCATAGTTAAATGATACTATGAGTAATCCAAAGGACTTCTTAGAGATATATGAATAAAACAAATCTCGAAAAAGTTAATTTTATTCTCGATATATATATATATATAACAAAATTTATTTATTGTATTTGCAAAAGTATAAATTTATTATAACCTTTATTTGCATTTAGCTCCACCTATTACTTTTCCTTTCACCCCAACTAAATACGAGTCAACATTTCTAAGTATTCCTTTCATTTTCTTAGCGATCTTAGTATAAAAGTGATTACTTGAACTTACAAAATCATGAAAGATTCGTGAGTAAGTTATCAAGTGTCGCATAGAGTCTTAACAAATATTTTAAATTTGTGACACTAAGCTGACCCGAGGGTAGTCAACCAAACCACATACTAGTATTATAAGGGCATATGATATTATATATATAACCTATCCTACAAATATCAGTAATTGAGTTTACTGCAGGGACGTATATGGAGAATGATTATCGGTTACACTTTTGACGTTTTAATTATTCTTTTTGTTGTTTATTTTCTTAAAGTGTCTTACATTGAAAGTTTTTAAATGTTTTAGCACTTATAAAATAATTAAAAGTGTATATTAAAATTTAAAACTAGTAGTGCATTAGCATTACATATTTTGAACTTATAATTTTTAAAAATTAATGGTTCATATTAAGAACTTCAAAATCAAACTTATCAAATTTATATTATAAGATGTATTTTCTCTGTAATCGTGCAAGCCTATCCGTATATATGAGCTCATAATTTATATTTTCTCTCAACAATAATTTCACAGCACGAATTATATTGTACGTATGTTCATGAAACCTAATTTCTATAGACAACTCGTGTTACATAAAAGTTTTTAAAAGAATATAATTTTGAAATAACAACCATATTATGAATCAACATTAAAGAAACCAATGACCAAAGTCTTCAACAATTGATAAAGTAAAGCTAAAAATATTCATGTTTTCACATGTAAGAAGTAAGAGCATGTGTATTTGAAGGCCAATACATATTGACTTCAGTCATGTCAAACGAGTTTCTCTCCAATTTATCACGTGTATGCTCTACCTGCACCCGTTTAATTTAATCAAAAAAAGAGAATAACTTTGTTTTTTTCATCTTTTTTACGATCAAATTCTTCATATTCAAAAAGTAGAAAGAAACTAACTACGAATACGATCAAATTCTTCATATTCAAAAAGTAGGAAGTAACTAACTACGATTGATGCTCGTTTCTTTATCTTATCTAATAGAGTATTATATTTATGATACCACGGCATCCACTTAAATGCAGTAAAAATTCATTAAATTAATACTCGATAAATTAATAGTTTCTCTCAAATATTATTTTTCTCTGATATCGACTTGGATCAATGAAACAAATCACTTATTTCGATAAGATAATATATTTCAGAAGACCCCTAGCTATATAAATATATGATTTCACTAATATTA